TTCCTGGAGAGCTCCCTGGACCTGGTCCATCTATGTCTCTCCCCCAGGGTTAAGAATGTATCAGGGCACGCATCACTAACCTTACAAGGCACTCACAGTCACATTTTCTTTTCTTTTCAGCTTACAGCAAGATAGTGACTCTTGGAAAAGATGAGTTTCACCTACACCTGGTGGACACAGCAGGGCAGGTACTAGTTTGGGTTAGGGTATCTAAATGTGACAGTTCAGTCCTGGGAGATGAAATCTGGTAGCCCCTGTGTCTCATCTGTAAAGTAGTATTAAAAGGAAAGCATTTTAGCATCTAGTAGTATGTAGCACTCATTGGAGCTACTCCATAAATACTTGTTGAATAAAAGTGACTGGAATCGGGAGTACCCCAGGGAGGGTACCCAGGATGCAACCCACCAACCTTTGACATCTTAGTGTTATGGATCTAGATATTGGTGTTTCTATTTCTTGTCAGGATGAGTACAGCATTCTTCCCTATTCATTCATCATTGGGGTCCATGGTTATGTGCTTGTGTATTCTGTCACCTCTCTGCATAGGTAAGTGACCAAGGTTGCAAGTGGGGGACTTGCGAGGATCTGAGGGTTGTCCCAGAATAAAGTTATAGCTCTATTTCTTGTGTTTAAAGCTTCCAAGTCATTGAGAGTCTGTACCAAAAACTACATGAAGGCCACGGGAAAACCCGGTAAGTGGGCCTAGTGCATAGATACATAGTGTGGACACTACTGCATGGAGCTAACAAAGAGAACTATTGGTTTTAGTTAGGGAGGAGGCTGGGATGTAGATCTTGTCTGGTTTGCTGGGGAGTTGTCCAGCCCTGATGTGAAGAATGTTGGAGTCCATGGGCAGTTGGAAGGGATCCTGTAGTAACTGCTGTTTTCTCACAGGCTGCCAGTGGTGCTAGTGGGAAACAAGGCAGATCTCTCTCCAGACAGGTATGGAAATCTTTGCAGCTCAAGGCAAAGGAAAATAAGCTAAACAAGAAATCAGGCATGCTCCAGTCCTGGCTCTGCCACTGACTTGCACAAGTCATTTTATTGCTTTTTGTTTCTAACTTGAAAGTTAAAACAAGATAACCGTTCTGTTGCAAAAGTTATAATTTCATATTTCAAGCCTCAGTTCCAGGCTTCTTTGTTTTACTTATATTTTCTCCTTCCCCAACCCTCCATTTAAACCTTGGAAGTGGGATGGGTCAGAAGAAGTCCAGAATCTATAAAGATTTTGCAGAGAACATGAGGAGATTACGGTCCTCCATCTTCATATCCCAAATTTGGTTCTAGGGAGGTGCAGGCAATCGAAGGGAAGAGGCTGGCAGAGTCCTGGGGTGCATCATTTATGGAGTCATCTGCTCGAGAAAGTCAGGTGCTGGGCCTGAAGATTAGGGATATGGTGGGGTTGGCAGTATTTTCCTTATGGAATTGCTTGGTGTTGGGGATGGTGGAAGAATGGGGTATTCACTTCAGAATTGGATGGTATTATTGGCAGTGAACTCACTGACTTTTTTGCCCCAAACCTCTATCCCACACAGTTGACTCAAGGCATCTTCACCAAAGTCATCCAGGAGATTGCCCGTGTGGAAAATTCCTATGGGCAAGAGCGCCGCTGCAGTCTCATGTGAGCCCTCAGGCATGGCATAGCTGCCGGCATTCTTCCCCTGGCATTTGCCAGGCTCCAATGGGGGCAGGTTCTCAGGACTTCACGGGTATGGTTGCCAGCTGTGTCCCTGGTCCTCTGGGAACACAGTATGGTACCCTCATGTTTGCACACTTTCTCCAGGCTCCAGTGGCCTGGTTGTCAATGTTTACAAAAGGGGCAAGAATGTCTCATGGGCACTGGCCTCTGTTTTTGCTAAATGAATTCTTGTAACCTGCAGGGTTGCGATGTGAGTCCTGGATATTGTTTATTCAGGACCCAGTCTCCTATGTAGGTTTTGGATATTGTCTGGGTGAAGGGAGCTGGGGACTCCAGAAGTGGAGCTGGCTCCCTGGGGTGAGGATGTATATATGCAAATAAACTGAAAAATCTTTTTGTTGTTGACTTCTCTGTGTATGGGAAGAGCTCAGGGCCACTATCTCCTTTTTCAAGTATTGATGACTATGATCTTTGGTGGGGAGTCAGGGCTAATTTCTTTCCAACTACTTCATTCCAATTCCTTACTCATTCAGAATCATCGCCCTAAAACTTACTACTTGCCTTTCCCAGCCTTTGGTTTCTACTGGGTTCTCCCTATACAGGTACCTGTTGGCTGCCACTCCCATCCAAGTTCATAGGCTCTCAAGAGCCGTTTACTACAGAAACACCACCCTCTAGTGGCCAGCTGCCACATGCTGACCTAGCTTCTTTCCTGGGCCTTGGCATTTGCTGGAACTCAGAGAGGGTAGGATTTGGGGAAGAGGAAGAAAGCCCCTCATTCCTAATATTGTAAGAATTGAGGAGTGTGACTAAACTGTTGTGAAGATTTTTGTCTTTATAAGAGAGTTAAGTAAAAAATAATGCCTTTGGTGTGTATTAATCCCCTGTCTCCCCATGTCCACTGTGCCTTTCATTAAAATAGATTATTTTTATACCTTTGGTGACCTTTTGATACCTTCTACACCTTTGAAGTTCTGCTCCCTTTTTTAGGTGTCAAGGCTATAGCTTCTGCCCTTAATTAGGAGGATGGATATATTTCAGATAGGAAGGTTTGGTTCTACATACCTCTAGTTTCAGTGCCCCTCCCCCACTTCCCATCTGGTCCTAGGGCCTAATTGACCAATGCCTGCTGAGAAGTTACTTAAATGGTATCCTTCACAGGGAGGAGGGCATAGGCTTCTGGCTACTGGATAGACTAAGGTATTAGTTGGGGAGGATGGACAAAACCTAGGTGTGATTTTTAGCTCTGACCTTGCTAGTGCCTAGTTCCAAGCTAGTTGGGCTTACAGTTGGGTATAATAGTTTGTCATGCCAGTTTTCAAAAGTCCTGCCAACTGCTTTTGTATCTCTGATCCAAACTCTAAAGAGAAATAAGGGCTACTGGAAGAAGCATACTGCAAAGAGCAACCTTAGTGGCTTATGAATCTCTTTAGGGTTGTTATCACCCTTTCTCCTTACATTAAATTAAGTCTTTTTGCACATCTCACCCAGACTACTCATGACAGGTACCCACCCTTCTGCTGCCATTTCCATGAGGCTTGATAATAGACTTACAAATGCCTGATTTTTTCTAGAAGTGTATCAAGCAATCTCAAAGCCTAATAACAGTATAGTGGTGAATGGTTGGGTTACTCTTCCACTTCGCTGTGGAATCTTGTGCAGTCACCTAACCTCTTTGAGCCTCAGATTCTCATATATGAAGTATAGTTAAAACTACATAAGGTTGAGGTGAGAATTAAACTGGGGTGATATATGGAATGTTTATCAGTTTCTCATACATAATAAACACTTAAGAAATAGCTATTGTGTTATTGGAGGTCTTTCTGGTGAGAGCCTGCCTCCCTGCCTTTGGGTGCAGATAGTAGGAAGGGACCTTCCATTTTCCAACCACTGCCTCTTGAATTATTAATTTCACTATAGCTGGGGCAGGTTTGGGATCACTGCTGGAATTTTTTTGCTGAAATAGACCTGAATGGTCCTTGAACAGCACATGATGTCAGTGCATGGCTAGCACAGAACATGTCTAGTTTTAACCCCTCCAATGACTCTGGCCAGTAGGGATTTAGAGCTCCTGCACTGTCCAATATGGAAGCCACAAGTCACACATGGCTATTTAAGTTTAACTCAGTATTAAAATTAAATAAAAAGTTCCTCAGTTGCATCATCTGCATTTCAAAGTGCTCAATAACTGCATGTGGTGAAGTTAGATATGGTAGCTACTGTGCATATTAGATATTATAGCTATAGTGCAATGCCATCATTGCAGAAATTTTTTTCCATAGCTCTCTAAACCCTTTCCCACACATCTGGCCCTGCACCTGATTTGCCTGCCTTTCTCCACATCTTCCCTAAAAAAAAAAAAAAAAGTGTGTGTTTACACACACACATATTCTAGAAAAAAAAGACAGCGATTGGTTGAATCATGGCTCTACTTCTCACTAGATGTGGTTCATTGGACAACTGTTACCAATTTTAGCCTCAAATCTTACGTGTAATAATACAGGCATAATTCCACTTAATGCATAACGAGGGTGAGGAATAACTAAGAGTATATAAAGTACCTAGCACATAGTTAATTAGTCTCCTGACCATCCCTTGGGTAGAGCTAAGACGGAAAAGGCATTCCATTCCTCATCCAGACGCATGGGCGGGAGGGGGGTGGTGGTGAAGGAGTTTGCAAGCAGTGTTTGGGATCTTGTCAAGAGTAATAGTACTTCAGCCAGGTAGCAGCCAGACTCCAAGGTCGAGCCCATTTACCAAAATAGAGGACACAGGCCCTGAAGATAGGAAGATAAAGACTGCGGGTGGGGGCACCCTGGAAAAGAAGGAAAACATTTATGTTTTGATCGGGGCTGTGTATGTGGTAATTTGGGGGCCAGTTACTGACAGTCCTTTTCCTTCATGAGGGGGTTTGAAAGTCCGAAGCAACGACTCGTTCCGCTTTTCTTCGGGGCCCGAACGTGGCAAGAACCCACCCTTTGCAGCCCCAGACGCCGTGCCTCACTTTCTCCATTTGCGGACTCCAGTTCCCAGGATGCAGAGCAGCGGCCAATCTCCTGGCTCTTCTTCCATCCCCCCTACCGGGAAAGATTGCCCCTGGTCAAGTCAAGGGGGCAGTTGCAGTTTCAGGGACTTATAACTCCAAGGGAACAAAATTACAAAGTGGCTGAAGTCCTAGTTTCCTGAACCGAGCATTGAAAGAGGCAGTTCCAGGACTGGGTAGAAGGGGAGGGGGGCTTCATTCCCACGTGTCTGCCCATCACCGTCCCGGCGCCGTCGGGGTTAACACGTAGCGGAGGGATCCCGCAGCGTGTGCGTAGAACTGCAGAGTCACAGCCTTTCCTCCGAGAGGGCAGTATCCCTCCGCCGCTCCGCTCCAACACAAAATAGGGCCAGCCTTCTTCTTTCTCCCCTTCTCGAGTGGGGTTCCCGAGGCAAAAGGTCCCCGCCGGGCCTCGCACTGGAGGTTTCCTGAATCTCCACGACCGCTGCCGCGATCTCGGGCCAGGAAATAGCCCCTTCGCAGGAACCACCCTACCGGCCGAACAGGAGGCGGAGGGGGGGGGGAGGCGGAGCGGCGCCGCGCTGCACTACTTTCCTCTCCGGTTGCAAATGGCTGCCTCGTTCCCCACTTTCCGCTCAGTTTCCTGACCCCCCGGCGCCGGGAGCTGGGGTTGGGCCATGCACCTCTAGGCCCCCCGCGATCACAACCAGCCGGGGGTCGAGGGGGTGCCGCCGATCAGAGCCGGCCAAGCCGGGGGCGGGGCAGCTCCGGAGGCCAAAGGGGAAGGGAGGCGAACGCAGGGCCTGGAGCGGCCGGAGGAGAGCGGGCAGAGGGCTCGCACCGCCCGCCCCTTCCTCTTCCTCGCCCACCTACCCTCCTCCCTTCCCCGGGGGGAGCAGAAGGTGGGGGGCTCGAAGCCGCGAGGGCGAGCGCTCGGGGTCGAGGAACTCGGCTCTGGGTGTGTGTCAGGTTCAGCCCTGCGGCCCCGCCGTCTCCGCGTCGCCGTAGCTCGCGCGGCCCCGGGGCGCCGGCCCGGGCGGGGAGAGGGGCTCGGCGCTCCTGCGAGGGTCTCACGTTCCATCCGGGCCCGGCGCGGGGCAGCGCGGCATTCCTTCCGGGCTTCTGGGGAGGTGCCTCGACGTTCCATCTGGAGAGCCTCGACGTTCCGCCCGAGCCCGGCGCGGGCGGCTCGGCCCTAGGACTGAGAGGCCGCCCGACGACGCGGATGCGGAGCCTGCTCGCCCAAGATCAAAGCCACCGGTGCTCTCTTTGTGTCCGCTCGGGATTCGCTGCCTTCGGGCTGTCCATGGAAACCTAAACTGCTGGAACCTGAAGCATAGAACCTCTCTTTGGCTTCTTGCTTTTTTTTTGGAGGGGAGGGTGGCCACTCCGACCTGGATTTACCGTTCTTGGCCCCTCTAAGCCCCCCCGTGCGGGGGGCGGCTGTGATCGCTCTGGCTGTTGGAGGTCGGGGAGCGGCCCGGGCTCTGGCCATGTTCTCGGATGAGGATTTCTGGATCGCCCTGTGAAGAGGTGAGTGAAGTCCGCCCGGCCAAGGCCCAGAAAGGATTGGACTGGGGGCATAGCCAGATGGACTATCTTGGCCACAGCTCGCCTTTAGGTTGGAGAAAAGGGTGCCAGGTTGAGGAGGGTTCTTTTGGCAGGGTCTGTCAAGGGAACATGAGCCAGTGGCTGGGGCAGAACTGAGGCCTGCTGTCTTGGGGTGTGCCTTTTTAAAGACTGGGGGTTCAGGGAACCACGGGAGTTTGGGAACCTGGCCAGATTGCCTCTCTGCCTGTTTATTTTTGTGTTGAGGGGAGCTCTACTAAAGTAGGACCCAGGCCCTGATGCCAGCACCAATCCCCGTCAGCCGCTTCTCCGTCAGGGTTCCTTGTGGGCCTTGGGAACAGAACAACTTGGGAGGGTGGGTAGGGTGCTACTGCCAGGTCAGACTTACTGTCAGGTTGAACTTTAAGGTGGTTCTTGCCCATGAGGGCACCCCCAGAGCTGTCTCAGGGAGACTCAAGGAACCCTCGATCCCTCACTAGGCTTTATTTCACTGTGGGTAGGGAAGATGTGAAAACTATGTAATGTGATTAAGGGGGTGGCTGGGGACAGTTCTAGCCTTGGTGTTCAACTTCAAACTACCCCTGCCTGGCAAAGTGACCGCAGCAAGGCCTAGTGCTGTTTCAGCCTGCTTTGCCTCCCCTTCTCTCGGGATGGACGTAATCTCTAGGGGATTATAGAGGAGGCAGTTGAGATTTGCTCCCTGTGAATGTGGGCTGCAAAAAATGGCTTTTGTTTCCCACTTTTTCTAGGCCTGGTGTGGTAAGCAAGTTGCCCATAAGTCCTTGGCCAATCCTGCAGGCCCCTCCTGACCTCTCCAACCCTTTCTGATCAGGGAATGTTAACTGGTCCTCTCATCCTGTCTTAACCCTACAGAATAGGGTAGCTGGTACCTCTTTGGAGGAGAAACAACCTGATCAGAGCTGTTTCTGCAGGAGCTAGTGTTTCCAGCCCTGGCTGGAGGTATTGGGGAGAAGGGGTGTGCATGTGAATGTACGAAGGGTGCAGCATGAACCTCATTCCTCTGGGCCCTGGGCTGGGACAGCCCCTCTTACAGCTGTCATGGTGCCCAGCAGGGATTTGGCTGGTGTGTTTTGCTCCCTCATTCCACCCCCTGCAACATACATACATGAGCTAGATCTCTTTGAGCCTGGTCTTGGAAAGGAGAAAATAGGGGCTTTGCCCTTGAAAGATTTCTGAGTAGTAACCTCGAGGTGCCAAGTGGCACAGGGGTGGTAGAGTGTGGCTAGCTGTCACCCATGCTCTCCTCTTCTGCCTCTTATGAAGGTCCCCTTCTGTTGTCTGTCCCCACAGAACTTCCTTAGGAGGAGCCTCTCATTGTTAGTTGTTGCTTACCCCAGGATGATCGGGCACAGTCCAGAGGGTCTACAGGGCCAGTATGTTGCCATTTGGATTCTTCCTGGAGGGCCAGCCCAAAATGGGGTGGGGAGAGGTGTGGTTTGATTCTCAGGTTGGGAACCAGGAAGTCCTGAGTCCTACAGAAGAGCTGTTCACTCAAGAGCCTCCTTCAGCCTTTCACCTCTCCAAGCCTCCATTTCCCCTGTGGCTGGGAAAATGGAGTTAAAGCTTTTGGTCTGGCATAGAGGCATGGAGGAGAGTGTGCTACCCTGCCTTCTTCCTTGCTGTTTTGGGCTTCTTAGGCCTAGGATTAAGGGGAGGCAGCACAGTTTTACTCCCTAGATCTGTACTTGGGGATCTCTAGTTCCCCAGAGGAAGCCTGGCCAGGCATTAGCCCAGTTTAGAGCTGGGGGGGGGGGGGAGGCGGGAACCCTTGGTGTGTGTGTGTGTGGGGGTCTGGCTGTGAATGATGGGACAGGGAACCTGTGGTCTTTATTTGTTTAGATCTGTTCAGGGGCCTGACAGCTGAGACTCAGCACTGGGGTGCAATGCTAGACCGCAGGGGTAAGGAAATGAGGCTCAGGCTTCTTGGAGGTGCCCCTAGATTCTTTTTTTGGTACAGCTTGGAGGGCATTCTTTTCACTTCTTAATCTCTCATCTTCCATGGCTCCATGAGTGAGCTTCCAACTTTGAAGGATGTTGGTACTCTGTCTCCCGGGGCTAGATAATGGTGGTGTCTCTATCTCCTTGAGCTTACCAGTTTGAGAGGGCTGTGCTCAGGGAAGGGCAGAGGAATTTGTCCCTCTAGCCTTGTGTGAGGCAGTCCTCCTACTACCCACTGTATTATCACTGTTGCTTTTTATTTCGTTCTGTTTGTGACTTCTTTGGCCTCAACTTTGAGAGCAGAGCAGGTGAAGGATCTTTGGGGGTATACAGTAAGATGCACACATTTGGAAAACTTTGAAGCCTTCTGGGTGTGGTCAAACCTTGAATGACTGAATAGGAAGAGGGCCCTGGCTGGTGCCCTGACCTCCAGCTCCTGCTTCCCATAGGTGGCTTCTAAGGCCCTTTGAAGTTCCAGAGCAACTTTTCTGTGGGCCAGCCAGATGACCACCCTGCTTCCTTTTAGGTATAATTGTGTGGTAGGTTTTGGAAAGAGGTGATCTGGGAATGGAGGTAACAGGTGTCAAGTGATACGTCACTTCCCTAATCTAGTAGATTCTGATAATGTGTGTGTGTGTGTGTGTGTGTGTGTGTGTGTGTGTGTGTGTGTTGGGGGAGTAAAATAAAATTTCCTTTCCCATGGCATGTCACAAGAGGCTCATTACCAATCTCTGAAAATGGAATGTTAGTTCAGGGAAGGAGGACTAATATTGTGGTTCTTAAGTAATTGATTTATTGATCCTGGGCACCTGCGAGGGCTCCCCCTGTCTCATCTGCCCCAGTCACTCAACCCCAAGTGGCTGTCAGGGTTATTTGGTAGCTGGTTTGAGAAAAGGGGCTTGTCTTTGCTCAGGTTTGTGAGTGGTCCCTCCAGTTAAACAAAAGGAGTGGAAAAGGTGAGAGATAAACTTCTCAGATCTTACTCAGATTTCTGTTTTAGACATTTCCCCCACCTCCTCTTCTCTGGGAACTCTGTACTTTCTTTGCTTAAGCCCCTACCTTTCCCGCTAAGAGCTGCTGACACCCATTCCTTTCCCTGCTATAGGATCCCTTTCCTCTTCCTCACCTCTATAATTTTTCTTATTCTTTTTTAAAAAATTTTATTTAGTTACTTTTCAAGTACAGTTTTCTGTCTATTTCTCCCATCTAATTTTTCTTATTCTTTACTTCTCTCTTTTTTGGACTGGCTTAGTTGCCTCTGGGGTTTAGGAAAATATGCCCAAAGGTGTGCATCTCAACCATCTTAGGTATTACTTTAGTGTGTTACATTTGGCTCTAGTATAGGCAGGCATATTTTAGAAGAGGAGACCGTTACCCCCCCCCACCCCCATAGTTCGTGTGGAAACCCTGTTTGACGGAAGAGGAAGGAAGCTCTTCTGCTGGGCTGTGTCCTGCCCTGTTTAGAACTCCTCCAAGTGGCAGTGTGTTTCCTAAGACTACATCTCCCAGCATGCCAAGCTTCAGGCCTGAATACACATGCTCAGTAACTCTTAAGGCCCACTTCTGTTAACTACTAGGGATATCTGAGGAGGAAGGGCAGTTGGTGTTGCTAAGGGTGATGACCTGAGGACTTCAGGCTGGGTGAGATCCTGAGTTCAGTCACTGCAGTGGCCAGGGAGTTGGGCCTGAGCTGGATTTGGATAGGCATGGGTAGACATTGGGGAGTTTCTCATGTTGCGATTGGGATATCATGGCTAGAAACAGTGGAGGTTGGGAAGATCCATCCATACATGGGCTTCAGTTTTAATAATGTGTTCTACATCCTCCACGACCCCAGACTCCATCTCTGGGAGAGGGATTTCAGCTGTACTCAGACTTCCTGGGTTATGGTTACGTGTGGCTTGGCACTGATAGACCTCTAGGATGGTAACTGACCTGAGACCTGAGGAAAAAGGACAGGGATAGGGCCCATCAGAAGCCCAGGACTCAGACGTGAGGCAAAGGGTGCTACTAGATGTACACTGGATGTTCTAGTTGGATGCTGTTGCCCTGGGAACCCTTAGATGGGAGTAGGGAAGTGGGGGAAGGGAGGGGATCCTCTGAAAATCGTGAGTTAGAGAAGAGGGTCTGTGTTTATCAGGGGAGGAAGTAGGCAATAAGATAAAGGTTAGGAAGGACTTTTTTTGTCTTTAGTTCTGGAGTTTGTATGTATGGCTTTGTTTGAATTTCTGTAGGGTCTAGATACCATTAGCTGCTTTTCACCTAGGGTTCTGGGAAAGTGTTTAGTGGAGAGACTTACTAGGCACATGGATACATTTTTTGGTTCTGACAGGTCTCCCCGAGAGGGCCCTGCCCAGTCGGAGAGAGGGATGGACAGCCAGAAGCCGCCTGGTGAGGACAAAGATTCAGAACCGGCAGGTGAGTAGGGCAAATTCTGGCTTTGCTGGCAGCTTTCTGCTGATCTCAGGCAACCTGAGATTTCTTGTCCTGGCACAAGCACAGGAGCTGAGTCTGTCTAATAGACAGGTAATTGAAGGACTTTGTTTGGGGGGACAAAAGTCAAAACGCCATCACTGTGATCTACCAAGGGTTTTAGATAATCTCATGGGTCTGATGAGTGGGCTAGTATTAAATAGTGGATGACGGCTGATCAGTGCTTCTCTGTTTGTTCATTCAGCTGATGGACTTGCAGCCTCTGAGGAGTCAGGCGCCACTGAGCCAGACCTTCCCAGCCCACATGTGGTGGAGGTCTCTGTGCCCAGGCCTGGGGGTCCCAGGCTTCAGGAGCCTCCCCAGGATTGCAGGTAACTAGTTTGGGGAAAAGAGGATATAAGGGCATGTGAGTATTTGCTTTGAGAGTCTGGGACTTGCAAGAAGGAATATTTAGGAACATTTAGTGTGTGGGAAGCACAGGTGTGTTAAATCATGGGGTCGTCAGGGGTGCCTGTGGGGTTGTCAGGGATCTGGCATGGTGCTGACACTTGTGTGTTCACAGCGGGGGTCCAGTGCGGCGTTGTGCTCTCTGTAACTGCGGGGAGCCCAGTCTGCATGGGCAGCGAGAGCTGCGGCGCTTTGAGTTGCCATTTGACTGGCCCCGGTGTCCAGTGGTGTCCCCTGGGGGGAACCCAGGGCCCAATGAGGCAGCACTGCCCAGTGAGGACCTATCACAGATTGGTTTTCCTGAAGGCATGACACCTGCCCACCTAGGAGAACCTGGAGGTAAGTGAGGGGAAGTGGGGTGGTAACTGATCTCGGCAGGAAAGAGGGTAGGGGATAGGTGGTCCAGAGCCAGTGATTACCTTTTAATTAATTCTTTCTGTTTGCCTTTTTTTCACTGATACAGGGTCCTGCTGGGCTCACCATTGGTGTGCTGCATGGTCGGCTGGCGTATGGGGGCAGGAGGGCCCAGAACTATGTGGTGTGGACAAGGCCATCTTCTCAGGGATCTCACAGGTGGGGCTGGGGCCAGGGGGTTGCATAGGCAAAGGGCAGGGTGGGCAGGGCTGGTGGGGTTCCAAGAGTCAGGGTAGAATGAGAAGGATAGTGGGCATACAGAGGCAGACCTAGTGGCTGACCTGTTGCTCTGGGGTGAGCTGGCTGGCACTGAGGCTTTGTCTCCAATCTGGCAGCGCTGCTCCCACTGCACCAGGCTTGGTGCCTCCATCCCTTGCCGCTCGCCTGGATGTCCACGGCTTTACCACTTCCCCTGTGCGACTGCCAGCGGTTCTTTCTTATCCATGAAAACACTGCAGCTGCTATGCCCGGAGCACAGCGAGGGTGCCGCACATCTGGGTGAGAAGCCCTGCCCTTTGGACGTTGGGCAGATGAGGGGCCAAGTGTGCCTGGGGTTTTATACTCTGCAGAGCACTCGTCGAAGTCTGTAATTTTGTACTATCCGTCGGCCTCACTAAAATAGATGTGAACTTTGAGAGTGCAGGGGCTTTGCCTGTCTTGTTAGCATGGTGTCTGCAGTGCCTAGAACAATGCCTAGCATATATTAGGCAGACACTTAGTAACTATTTATTTGTTCATTTTAGTCCATGGAATGCCTGTTAAGTAGACAGCACTGTGCTGAGTCCTACAGGGAATCTGTAGCTGACCTGTGTTCTCTGTCCCTTCTGACTGCAGAGGAAGCTCGTTGTGCAGTATGTGAGGGGCCAGGGGAATTGTGTGACCTGTTCTTCTGTACCAGCTGTGGGCATCACTATCATGGGGCTTGCCTGGACACTGCCCTGACTGCCCGCAAGCGTGCTGGCTGGCAATGCCCTGAATGCAAAGTGTGCCAAGCCTGCAGGTAAGAATGGGAGGGCAGGAGGGAAGCCTTGGACAAAGCACAGTTTAGGATTAAAAACAAGAGCAGGGAGGTCTGCTCTGCCCCAGACCCTATACTTTCTGTGGAGTAGAGTTGAGCTAGGTAGGAGCATATATGTCCTGTCTCTGCAGGAAACCTGGGAATGACTCTAAGATGTTGGTCTGCGAGACATGTGACAAAGGATACCATACCTTCTGCCTAAAACCACCTATGGAGGAACTGCCTGCTCACTCTTGGAAGTGTAAGGTGAGGGTCCTTGACTCTGCCTTACTCTTCTATCTTCCACAACATCTGGAGCTTCCCTGTTGTGACAAGTCCCACACTGCCCTCCAGTATCTGCTGACTAACCGATGCCTGTTTTGCCTTCTCCCCTCTTTTAGGCATGCCGGGTATGCCGGGCCTGTGGGACAGGCTCAGCAGAGCTGAGTCCTAACTCTGAGTGGTTTGAGAACTACTCACTGTGTTACCGTTGTCACAAAGCCCAGGGAGGACAGCCTATCAGTTCTGTTGCTGACCAGCATCCTGCTGTCTGTTGCAGGTAAGTAGTGTGGACCAGAAGAGATTGGGCTGTGGGATCAAAAGTGCTGAGATTGTCAGGGGCCATGTTAAAGCAGGCTGCCTTTGAGAGGGGAGCCCTAAGGTGGGCAGTACAGTCCATAGCATTCATGCCTAGTCCCAGTGCACTCTCTAGGAGTTGATAGCTAATGAGAGCCACGGTGCCTGCTCCCCTGTACCCTCTGCAGATTCTCACCCCCAGAGCCTGGCGATCCCCCCTCTGATGAGCCCGATGCTCTGCACGTTGCATGCCAAGGGCAGCCAAAGGGTGGGCACGTGACCTCTATGCAACCCAAGGAACCGGGGCCCCCGCAATGTGAAGCCAAACCACTAGGTGAGTAGGGTTTGAGGGTTCCTGAAAGTTCCCCTTGTGTTCTGTGGCAAGAGACAGTATCTGCTCTGCCCCAGACCCTATACTTTCTGTGGAGTGGAGTTGAGCTAGGTAGGAGCATAGTATGTTATGTCTGCAGGGAAAGCAGGGGCCCAACTTGAGCCCCAGTTGGAGGCCCCCCTAAATGAGGAGATGCCACTGCTGCCCCCACCGGAGGAGTCACCCCTGTCCCCACCACCTGAGGAATCACCCACATCACCACCGCCTGAGGCATCGCGTCTGTCCCCGCCACCCGAGGAATCACCCCTCTCTCCACCGCCTGAGGAGTCTCCTCTGTCTCCCCCTCCTGAATCATCATCACCTTTTTCTCCACTGGAGGAGTCGCCCTTTTCTCCACCAGAGGAGTCACCCCCATCTCCTCCACTTGAGACACCCCTGTCCCCACCACCTGAAGCATCACCCCTGTCCCCACCATTTGAGGAGTCTCCCCTGTCACCCCCACCCGAGGAATTGCCCACTTCACCACCACCTGAAGCATCTCGCCTGTCTCCACCACCTGAGGAGTCACCCATGTCCCCTCCACCTGAAGAGTCACCCATGTCTCCACCACCTGAGGCATCGCGTCTGTTCCCACCATTTGAAGAATCACCTCTGTCCCCTCCACCAGAGGAGTCTCCCCTCTCCCCTCCACCTGAGGCATCTCGCCTTTCCCCTCCACCTGAGGCATCACGCCTTTCCCCACCACCTGAGGACTCGCCCATGTCCCCACCGCCTGAAGACTCACCTATGTCCCCCCCACCTGAGGTGTCACACCTGTCCCTCTTGCCTGAGTTGTCACGCCTGTCCCCACCGCCTGAGGAGTCTCCCCTGTCCCCACCACCTGAGGAGTCTCCCAGATCCCCTCCACCCGAGGCTTCACGCCTGTCCCCACCACCCGAGGATTCACCCACATCCCCACCACCTGAAGACTCACCTGCTTCCCCGCCACCGGAGGACTTGCTTGTGTCTATACCACTGGAGGAGTCCCCCCTGTCACCACTGCCTGAGGAGCCTAGCGGGTCCCCCCGGCCTGGGGAGCCGTGCCTGTCTCCTACACTAGAAGAACAGCTTCTGTCCCCCCGGCCTGAGGAGCTACACCTGTCCCCTGCACCTGAGGAGCTGCACCTGTCCCCCCGGCCTGAGGAACCACATCTGTCTCCCATGTGTGAGGAGCCACAGCCATCTCTGGTGCCTGAGGAATCATGCCTGAACCCCCAGCCTGAGGAGCTCCACGTGTCCCACCAGCCTGAGGAACCACACCTGTCCCCTCAACCTGAAGAGCCCCTTGAGGAGCCCGGCCTGTGCTCTGCACGTGAGGAATTGCCCTTGTTCCTCCCAGCTGGGGAACCACCCTTATCCCCCTTGCTTGGAGAGCCGGCCCTGTCTGAGCCTGGGGAACCACCTCTGTCCCTTCTGCCCGAGGAGCTGCCGTTGTCCCCATCTGGGGAGCCATCCTTGTCACCTCAGCTGATGCCACCAGGTAAGGGGATGTTAGTATCCTCTTATTCTGGGGCAGTCTTAATTTTTTATGGCACAGCTAAGAGCCTCCCTTTTTCTCTTTCCAGATCCTCTTCCTCCTCCACTCTCACCCATCATCACAGCTGTGGCCCCACCGGCCCTCTCTCCTTTGGGGGGGTTAGAGTACCCCTTTGGTGCCAAAGGGGACAGTGACCCTGAGTCGCCATTGGCTGCCCCCATCCTAGAGACACCCATTAGCCCTCCACCAGAAGCTAACTGCACTGACCCTGAGCCTGTGCCCCCTATGATCCTTCCCCCGTCACCAGGCTCCCCAATGGGGCTGGCTTCTCCCATCCTGATGGAGCCCCTTCCCTCTCAGTGTTCTCCACTCCTCCAGCATTCCCTGCCTCCCCAGAACTCCCCTTCCCAGTGCTCGCCTCCTGCTCTGCCATTGTCCATTCCCTCCCCACTGAGTCCCATGGAGAAGGCAGTGGAGGTCTCAGAGGATGCGGAGCCACCTGAGATGGAGACTGAGAAAGTCTCTGAACCTGAGTGCCCAGCCTTGGAGCCCAGCCCTACTAGTCCTCTCCCCTCCCCCATGGAGAACCTTTCCTGCCCTGCACCCAGCCCTGCCCCAGCCCTGGATGACTTCTCTGGCCTGGGGGAAGACACAGCCCCTCTAGATGGGACTGACACTCCTGATTCCCAGCCAGAGGCTGGGCAGACCCCTGGCAGTTTGGCTAGTGAACTTAAGGGTTCCCCTGTGCTCCTGGACCCCGAGGAGCTGGCTCCTGTGACCCCTATGGAGGTCTATGGCCCAGAATGCAAGCAGACAGGGCAGGGCTCACCCTGTGAAGAGCAAGAGGAGCCACGTGCACCAGTAGCCCCTACCCCACCCACTCTCATCAAATCTGACATCGTTAATGAAATCTCCAATCTGAGCCAGGGCGATGCCAGTGCCAGTTTCCCTGGTTCAGAGCCCATGCTGGGCTCTCCTGACCCAGAGGGGGGTGGCTCCTTATCTATGGAGTTGGGGGTATCTACAGATGTTAGTCCAGCTCGAGATGAAGGCTCCCTTCGGCTCTGTACTGACTCTCTGCCAGAGACTGATGATTCGCTGTTGTGTGATACTGGGACAGCTGTCGGTGGAAGCAAAGCTGAGGGGGACAAGGGGAGGCGGCGCAGCTCCCCAGCTCGTTCCCGCATTAAACAGGTAAGGGGCTGTTTTGTCACTTCATGTTAACGTCACTTCATGTGGTCGACTTCATGTTAACGTCAGAGGTACAGTTCTGTGTCACTAGTACCTTCCCATCTGGCTTATTGAATTCTAGACTCTCGGAGATTCTTTAGTCCATCCTCTTACTTTATTAGGGAGACTGTTGATACATAGAGTGGGAAGTGACTTGCCCAGCTTCGTGGTTACTCAGTGTTAGAATCGGGACTAAAGACCTGATAAATCAGGTCTTTAATGCCAGTGTTTTTTGTCATTGTACCACTTGGTCACTTTTTCTGGGAAGAAGAACTTCCTGCCTGTTGCTTTCTGAGAGCTAGCTTTTCCTCTGTCCTGCCTGGGACTCCTGGCCTTTATTACTTGTCATGCTCTGTCCATTAGTCTCTTCTCTTCCCTCCAAGCCTGTGAAACTAACACACTAGCCCTCTACTTATCCCTGTAATCATCCACTTCCCTAATTCAGGGTCGCAGCAGTAGTTTCCCAGGAAGACGCCGGCCACGTGGAGGAGCACATGGAGGACGTGGGAGAGGACGGGCCCGGCTAAAATCAACCACTTCCTCCATTGAGACTCTGGTAGTAAGGAGAGGCCTCCCATTCCCCAAACATGCTTCAGCTGGTCCCTTCAAGATTAAACAGCCTTTAATCCTGTCAGTCCCCTGCACGCTCACCTACCTGCCTGCCTGCTAGCCTAGGGCCTGTCTGGCTCTGCTCCTCCTATCCACTTGGCTCTCAGGCTTTTCTGAAATCTCTGCTGTCAGGCTGAGGCCCAGTTTGGGAGCTGGGGTGTTCTGCTCCTTAGTCTGGCTCCTGGCCTTCATTTAGCCAGGGGTTCACACCTCCTTCCCCCAACACCAAAGAGGAAAGCAGCTTAGTTAAGGCACATTTAGCTGCCTCACTTTACACAACTCTCTGCCTATAAGGTTGCTGATATCGATAGCTCTCCCAGCAAAGAGGAAGAAGATGATGATGACGACACCATGCAAAATACCGTGGTTCTCTTCTCCAATACAGACAAGTTTGTCCTAATGCAGGTACCGTATGTGACGAGTATAGTCTCGTTCTTATTGAGACCTGGCAGACTGACACTGGGTGTATGTGTTTAGGTGGGTAAAGCAGATGCAGAAAACCAAGGATCTTCTCCTCTACCCAGCTAATGAGGAAACAGTGAATCAGAATCACATTGTTCATTTGTTCATCCATCAAATTTTTCTTGAGTGTCTCCGAGTTTGGCTCTGAGCTAGGAGCTAGAGATTTAGCAGTGAAAAGGCAGGAATGGTTTCTGCCCTATTGAAGGTGATAGTCTGGGGAGCTTGTGTGTGTGCTCACCTGAATAATCTCAGAGCTGGTAGAACACTGGCACATGTTACTCTCTCAGCCTGACCAGTCTTTACTCGTCTGCTCTTCTTTTTACTACTTAACTTACCCACACCAGGCAGTTTCAGTTCACACTACCTGATCAGATGAGCAATGCATGCTGGGAAGGGGCATGGTCCTGCGACGGCTCACAGTGTGAAGCCAGGGCCTTTGGTTCACCTGACTTCTTCCCTCAGATTTGAGTTGTAGTCAGTTGTCAGGACTGAGTGTGGTGAGGAGACCCAGATGGACATTGGAGTTTTTGTATATTTTCCTAGGACATGTGTGTGGTGTGTGGTAGCTTTGGCCGGGGAGCTGAGGGCCACCTCCTTGCCTGTTCCCAGTGTTCACAGTGCTATCACCCATACTGTGTCAACAGCAAGGTGAGTTCACGGTCCTACAGACCCAAGCTGTGGGATGGGGCCACTTATTTCTTATTCTAGGCCCCACACTACTTAAAAGGGGCCATTGGTAATGGAAGTCATTCATCAGACTCATCTTGGGGAAAAACACTTTGGAAATAGTGGTCGTCTTTATAGTTTCTGGGTGGTAGACCATGACTTGCCAGTATAACTCAGTCTACCATACAAACTGTGAGAACTTTACTAGTAGAAAACATGATAGAGTCTGGAGATAAAATGTAAAATGGAGAGCCCTGGCTGGTGTAGCTCAGTGAATTGAGCCACAGGCCTGTGAAGCAAAGGGTCGCCGGTTCGGTTCCCAGTCAGGGCACATGCCTGGGTTGTGGGCCAGGTCCCCAGTGGGGGACACATGAGAGGCAACCACACATTGATGTTTCTCTCCCACTCTTTCTCCTTCCCTTCCCCTCTCTCTAGAAATAAATAAATAAATAATTTTAAAAAAATGTAAAATGGAAATCATAAGCAATGGTCTACAAAGAGAAGGCCGTGTTTTTTACCCAAGCGTGATCCGTTGGTTTGGTGTTTTCATTAATGTTAACTTAGAGCTTGTCCAATGCTAACATTCCCTAACTTGTAGCAGAAGTAGGTTTTAAATATTCAAGAAAAATGGGCGGAAATACAACCTAATCTATCCACAAGCTTGTCGGGGACTTGACTAGTGAAAGATTGTCATTCTGTTCTCGTAATGAGGGAGTGACCAGGTGAGGCTGTTCTCTGAACGGCAGAGATCCCTGGGAGCCTAAGTTTAGAGTCACTAGAGGGTGTAGCAAAAGTAGGTTTAGAGTTGTGTGTATGGAAAACAGTACAATAATCAAATAATACAAGAATAAATTGTTTGATGTACTCAGAACTATAAGCCTACTTTTGCCTCACCCTGTATTTTGGGGGTGAGGGTGTTCCGCACAGCCTCTCTTTGCTCAAATGGAGGGCTAGCCTGGGCACTGGGGTCCTCCCGCCCCATTCATATAAGTCTGCCTTCCCTCTGCCTCATATCCTGAAAAATTGCCATCCTCCACACCAGATCACCAAGGTGATGCTGCTGAAGGGCTGGCGTTGTGTGGAATGCATCGTGTGCGAGGTGTGCGGCCAGGCCTCAGACCCTTCACGCCTGCTGCTCTGTGACGACTGTGACATTAGCTACCACACGTACTGCCTGGACCCCCCACTGCTCACCGTGCCCAAGGGCGGCTGGAAGTGCAAGTGGTAAGGAGACCCAGGATCTTCAGAAGGGCCCTGGGCCTGAGATGTCAGAGTAGATGTGATGTTGAGTGCAGGACAGAGGCTGCGTTTAGAAGACCATCTGGTCACGTGGTTCTCAGCAATCACCTCTGGATGCTTTGGATAGGTTAGGGGCTGAGCGCCTGCTTTTCTACTTTCTCCAGGTGTGTGTCGTGTATGCAGTGTGGGGCCGCCTCCCCTGGCTTCCACTGTGAATGGCAGAACAGTTACACGCATTGCGGGCCTTGTGCCAGCCTGGTGACCTGCCCTATCTGTCATGCCCCGTATGTAGAAGAGGACCTACTGATCCAATGCCGCCATTGTGAACGGTGAGGGTGCCCCTTTCCCCTTGTTTGGCTTCCTCTTCCCTTGTTTTCAGCTTTGCATTGTCTGGGTTTGTCTCCTCACATGTGCCTTCTCCCAGGTGGATGCATGCCGGCTGTGAGAGCCTCTTCACGGAAGATGACGTGGAGCAGGCCGCTGATGAGGGCTTTGACTGTGTCTCCTGCCAGCCTTACGTGGTAAAGCCTGCTGGTGAGTGCCAGGTGCTGGGAATGGGGAGCAGGAGTCAGGGCTGGGGTGTCCTTGGTTCAAGACAGGGCCTCAAACTGCCTTGGTTTGTCCTTCTTGCCACAGTGCCTGTTGCACCTCCAGAGTTGGTGCCCATGAAGGTGAAAGAGCCAGGTGAGTCTTGGAATTCTGAGTGCCAAAGCCAGAGGAGAGCTGACTGTCTAGTCCAGCCCTAACCCCCTAACTTTATGTCATTTGAAGAGGAGGAAACTTCAGAGCCAGGGAGATTCAGTAGCCTGCCCAAGGTCACCCAGTAGGTTAGTGACAAAGTTATGACTACAACCAAGGCCTCAAGTTTCCCAGGCACAGTTCCTGCCACCAGGAAATATGGCCTCTGTACTGCCAGGATGTCATTCCCAAAGAGCACAGGGCCCGCTGTTTCTCCAGTGAAGGGGCTGGGGCCATCTCCTTCTCCATTATGATGTAGGCATTGTTCGTGGCATCTCGGATGCTCTGTGCTGGCTTTCAGCACATAGGGGCACTCCTAGCCCCAGACAATTAGAGAATGTATTTAGTGAACCTAGGGTTAATCACAAGCAAAGTCATTCATGCTTCTGCAGCAGCAATCTCTTAGTCCCCGTGGGTTACTGGTGGAGAATTGGGACCTTAGCTAACCCCCAGTGGTGGCCTGTCTTCTCCACCCCTCAAGCCTCAGGCTGGACTTTGGTCTGTCTCTCTCTCACTGCTTTGGTCCCAGCAGGGGACTTAGGCTAAAACTTGGAGTTCTGGTTCCCCTGGGGTCACATGCTCTTCCCCTTTGCGCAGAACCCCAGTACTTTCGCTTCGAGGGTGTGTGGCTGACAGAAACTGGCATGGCTGTCCTGCGTAACCTTACCATGTCACCCCTACACAAGCGGCGCCAGCGGCGAGGACGGCTTGGCCTCCCAGGCGAGGCTGGGTTGGAAGGTTCTGAGCCCTCAGATGCCCTTGGCCCTGATGACAAGAAGGATGGGGACCTGGACACCGACGAGCTGCTCAAGGGCGAAGGTTAGGCTAGAGAATCTCAGGGAGTGACAGAGTAGGGGGAGCGTGCCTGTGAGAGCTGGAGGCTTGGTGGGAGCACACTCCCAGTCACTCTGAACCACTGTTGGTCTTGTTCAAATGGTTCTGGCAAGGCACTTGGCTTTGTTCTTGGGTGGCAGGACAACAAAATTGAAGGGCCCATGCCTGTCCTTTGCCTCCATCTCTCTGCTCTGTTTGAATATGCAGCTGGTGTGGAGCACATGGAGTGCGAAATTAAACTGGAGGGCCCCGTCAGCCCTGACATGGAGCCTGGCAAGGAGGAGACCGAAGAGAGCAAAAAACGCAAACGCAAACCCTATAGGCCTGGTGAGCCCCTAGGATGGGCAGCGGGGTGGGGAGGGGTTGGTTCACCCAGTCCCCAGCCGCTTCTCAGCCTCAGCTCTGCCTCCTCGTAGGCATTGGTGGTTTCATGGTGCGACAGCGGAAATCCCACACACGTGTGAAAAAGGGGCCTGCTGCACAGGCGGAGGTGTTGAGTGGGGATGGGCAGCCCGACGAGGGTGAGACGGGTGAGGGCTCCAGCAGGGCCTGGGAGATGGTGGGGATCACAGGACCTACAGGGCAGTGCCAGGGAGGCCTGGGGGGATGGCTCACTCCAAGGGCCAAGAGGGTGGTGGGCCCAGTTGGTGCTGGGGGAGAAAATAGGCAGAAAAACATTAAGCCAAGTTCGGAATAATATGCTCAGTGTCCCCAGAGAAGCCAACACTTCCTATTCTGTTCCTAGTGATGCCTGCTGACCTGCCAGCAGAGGGCTCTATAGACCAGAGCTTAGCTGATGTGGATGAGAAGAAGAAGCAGCAGAGGCGAGGGCGCAAGAAGAGCAAACTAGAAGACATGTTTCCTGCTTACCTGCAGGTGGGCCTTAGGCTCTGCAGGGTGCAGGATGGGCTGGGGCTGTCTGCCTTGCAGGACATGAAGAAACCTCTTTCTTCCTGCCTTTCCTGCAGGAGGCCTTTTTTGGGAAGGAGCTGCTTGATCTGAGCCGGAAAGCCCTTTTTGCAGTTGGAGTGGGCCGTCCCAGCTTTGCACTAGGAACCCCAAAAGTCAGGGGGGATGGAGGCTCAGATAGGAAGGAGCTCCCCACCTTACAGAAAGGTCAGTCACGTCAGGGGCTGGTCGTCTAAAGGGACCCAACTTTCCTCTGTGCTCAGCAGTTGGTAAGGGAATTTGGTGGGGAGTGAGCTGGTCTCCAGGAAATGAGGGTAGGTCAAGGGCCCTTGCCTGTTGAGCTGGGGACCCATTCTGAATGTCAGATGTAGGGCATCTCTGATTGGGGTGGCAACTGTTGCTTGTAGGAGATGATGGTGCGGAGGTTGCAGATGAAGAATCCCGTGGTCCTGAAGGCAAGGCTGATACACCAGGTGAGGGCCATTGAGGGGACTTCCTCCTAGCTGGATTTTGCTTCTGTCAACCTGTTGTGTCCCTGAGCACTGTCAGAGTTGGAGACTGGAAACTGTTCCATGCTGTGCTTTGGTTTGGCTTGGCCAGTATGGTACTTCCGTGCTGGCCTTGACTCGTGGGTTTCTCCTGGCCACTGCAGGTCCTGAGGATGGAGGCGTAAAGGCATCCCCAGTGCCCAGTGACCCCGAGAAACCAAGCACCCCAGGAGAAGGGATGCTTAGCTCTGACTTAGACAGGATTCCCACAGAAGGTGAGACTGTGACCTATACTTTTCATTTTTTAACGGTCCTCTGTGGGAGAAGGTCCTGTGTATGGGACTGTCATCTGTACAGTGGGGAGTTCTAGGCACCTTCCCTGGCCATGATTGTTTGTAGATGTGTGGTGCTCCTTCACATACCCAGTCTGCCTCAGCATCATCCTCAATCAATTCCCCACAGAGCTGCCCAAGATGGAATCCAAGGACTTGCAGCAGCTCTTTAAGGACGTTCTGGGTTCTGAACGAGAGCAGCCTCTGGGTTGTGGAACCCCTGGCCTAGACGGCAGCCGTACACCACTGCAGAGGCCCTTTCTTCAAGGTGATATGGGTGGTTTGAAGACTGGTGTTCAGATAAGGCCAAGCTTGCCCCCAGGATGGGCCACCTGCTCCCTTTCTCTGATCCTGTGTCGCTTACAGGTGGACTCCCTTTGGGCAATCTCCCCTCCAGCAGTCCAATGGACTCCTACCCGGGCCTCTGCCAGTCCCCATTCTTGGATTCTAGGTTGGTATCTATGATTAACCTTTGTGGGCTATTGCCATTGTCCCTTCCCTCCAGTTGGGCCCATGCCACGGGAGGGAACCTCGGACTTCTGGGTGCTGTACTAATACGTCCCCTGGCTCCTTTCCACCTCCTTGTTGGTGGCCCTCCTCTGTTGGGGCAGGGCACTGGCCTGACTCATCTGGGGTGGAATGTGGCATCCTGCCCCCTGTGACTCTCTGCCCCTGCGCCCCAGGGAGCGCGGGGGCTTCTTTAGCCCGGAACCTGGTGAACCAGACAGCCCCTGGACAGGCTCAGGGGGCACTACGCCCTCCACCCCTACTACACCCACTACAGAGGGTGAGGGCGATGGGCTCTCCTATAACCAGCGGAGTCTTCAGCGCTGGGAGAAGGACGAAGAGTTGGGCCAACTCTCCACCATCTCGCCTGTGCTCTATGCCAACATTAACTTTCCCAATCTCAAGCAAGATTACCCAGGTACCTGTGGGACAAGGGCATGGGAGACAATAACCGGTAACATGGTGGGTGTAGGGGACACCTGCCAAGTCTCCTAATGCAATCCCTCTGCCTTCCAGACTGGTCTAGCCGTTGCAAACAGATAATGAAGCTCTGGAGAAAAGTTCCAGCTGCTGACAAAGCCCCCTACCTGGTGAGACAGAAGGAAACCTGGGTCAGCGTGGGAACTGAGTGGGGAGCGTGTTTTCGGGAAATTTGCTTCAGTTCTTTCCCTTCCCCACTCCTGAAGCAGCTGGGCCAGAGGGATCAGCTTTTGGATAGGGAGTGTGAGTGACATGATGGACAGGGGCTGGGCATGAGACTGAGCCCTAGGCCTGAGGCTTTGTCTTCCATTCTTCAGCAAAAGGCCAAAGATAACCGGGCAGCTCACCGCATTAACAAGGTGCAAAAGGTGAGTGGGGCCCCACTGAGCTGCCACCGATGCCCGTGGCGGGCGGCCTCTTTAAGGGCGGGGTATAGGGCCTGTGCACAGCAGTCTGACTGCTCTGTGCCTGGTCTCCTCCCGCAGCAGGCGGAGAGCCAGATCAGCAAACAGACCAAGGTGGGCGACATGGCCCGTAAGACTGACCGACCGGCCCTACATCTCCGCATTCCCCCCCAGCCAGGGGCACTGGGCAGTCCGCCCCCTGCTGCGGCCCCCACCATTTTCATTGGCAGCCCCACTACCCCCGCCGGCTTGTCTACCTCTGCGGATGGGTTCCTGAAGCCGCCGGCGGGCACGGTGCCCGGCCCCGACTCGCCCGGTGAGCTCTTCCTCAAGCTCCCACCCCAGGTGCCTGCCCAAGTGCCTTCGCAGGAACCCTTTGGACTGGCCCCTGCCTACACTCTGGAGCCCCGCTTCCCCACAGCACCCCCCACTTATCCTCCCTTTCCTAGTCCAACTGGGGCCCCCGTGCAGCCCCCAACGCTGGGTGCCTCATCTCGCCCTGGGACTGGCCAGCCAGGGGAATTCCACACCACTCCTCCCAGCACTCCCCGACACCAGCCCTCGACACCTGATCCCTTTCTCAAACCCCGTTGCCCCTCACTGGACAACCTGGCTGTGCCTGAGAGCCCTGGGGTAGGGGGTGGCAAGGCTTCTGAGCCCCTGCTGTCACCCCCGCCTTTTGGGGAGTCTCGGAAAGCCCTGGAGGTGAAGAAGGAAGAGCTTGGGGCATCCTCTCCTAGCTATGTGCCCCCAAACCTGGGCTTTGTTGACTCACCCTCCTCAGGCCCCCACCTGGGCAGCCTGGAGTTAAAGGCACCTGATGTCTTCAAAGCCCCCCTGACCCCTCGGGCATCTCAGGTAGAGCCCCAGAGCCCGGGCTTGGGCCTAAGGCCCCAGGAGCCATCCCCTGCTCAGGCTTTGGCCCCTTCTCCCCCTAGCCACTCAGATATCTTTCGCCCTGGCTCCTACCCTGACCCTTATGCTCAGCCCCCATTGACTCCTCGGCCCCAACCCCCACCCCCTGAGAGCTGCTGTGCCCTACCCCCTCGATCACTGCCCTCTGACCCTTTCTCCCGAGTGCCTGCCAGTCCCCAGTCCCAGTCCAGCTCCCAGTCCCCATTGACACCCCGTCCTCTGTCTGCTGAGGCTTTCTGCCCATCCCCTGTGACCCCTCGCTTCCAATCCCCTGACCCTTATTCCCGCCCACCCTCTCGCCCTCAGTCCCGTGACCCATTTGCCCCACTGCATAAGCCACCCCGACCCCAGCCCCCTGAAGTTGCCTTTAAGTCTGGGCCTCTAGCCCATACTCCACTGGGGGCTGGTGGCTTCCCAGCAGCCCTGCCCTCAGGGCCAGCAGGTGAGCTCCATGCCAAGGTCCCAAGTGGGCAGCCCCCCAATTTTGCCCGGTCCCCTGGGACGGGTGCATTTGTGGGCACCCCCTCTCCCATGCGTTTCACTTTCCCTCAGGCAGTAGGGGAGCCTTCTTCCTTAAAGCCGTCTATCCCTCAGCCTGGTCTCCCTCCACCCCATGGGATCAACAGCCATTTTGGGCCTAGCCCTACTTTGGGCAAGCCTCAAAGCACAAACTACTCAGTAGCCACAGGAAACTTCCACCCATCGGGTAGCCCCCTGGGACCCAGCACCGGGTCCACAGGAGAGGGCTATGGGCTGTCCCCGCTACGCCCCCCGTCAGTTCTACCACCACCCGCACCCGATGGATCCCTCTCCTATCCACCCCACGGAGCCTCACAGCGGGTTGGCATCACCTCTCCAGTCGATAAGCGAGAAGACCCAGGGGCTGGAATGGCCAGCTCTTTGGCGGCACCTGAACTTCCAGGTACCCAGGACCCAGGCATCTCCAGCCTCAGCCAGACAGAGCTGGAGAAGCAACGGCAGGTGAGTTGACATTGTGGAGCTGAGCCCCCATATCTTCATGGTCCCTGTGCTATCCCTTTAATTGGAACAGGACAGACTTAGCCCTCTTCTGTTCTCTGCACAGCGCCAGCGACTACGAGAGCTGCTGATTCGGCAACAGATCCAGCGCAACACCCTGCGGCAAGAGAAGGAAACAGCTGCAGCAGCTGCAGGAGCAGTGGGGGCCCCGGGCAGCTGGGGTGCTGAGCCCAGCAGCCCTGCCTTTGAGCAGCTGAGTCGAGGCCAGACCCCCTTCACTGGGACCCAGGTAGATAGAGTGGCAAGGTGTGATGGGCCAGGATACTGAAGGTGGCCCCATCTTCATCTACCTCTTTCTCTCCTAGGATAAGAGCAACCTTGTAGGGCTGCCCCCAAGCAAGCTGGGTGGCCCCATCCTAGGGCCAGGGGCTTTCCCCAGTGACGACCGACTCTCCCGGCCACCTCCACCAGCCACCCCTTCCTCTATGGATGTGAATAGCCGGTGAGGCTCCAGGGGCTTCCCCGGGGGTAAACCAAGGGAACAGACTTCGTCACTTTTGTGTACTCTGATTTACCCATCTGTCTAATCCTTCTCCTGTCTCGTTTACTCTTGTTTTCTATTCCTTCCCCCTCGCCACATTAATTCTACCCTTCCCTATGCCCTAGGCCCATGTTCTAGATCCTCTACCTTGATGTCATCTTACTGACTACTGCATATTTTTCCAGGCAACTGGTGGGAGGCTCCCAAGCCTTCTATCAGCGAGCACCCTATCCTGGGTCCCTGCCCTTACAGCAGCAGCAGCAACACCTGTGGCAGCAGCAGCAGCAGCAGCAAGCAACAGCAGCAAATTCCATGAGACTTGCCATGTCTACTCGCTTTCCATCAACTCCTGGGCCTGAACTTGGCCGCCAGGCCCTAGGTTCCCCCTTGGTGGGACTCCCCACCCGCCTGCCTGGCCCCGGTGAGCCAGTGCCTGGTCCAGCTGGCCCTGCCCAGTTCATTGAGTTGCGGCACAATGTACAGAAAGGACTAGGACCTGGGGGGGCTCCATTTCCTGGTCAGGGCCCCCCTCAGAGACCCCGTTTTTACCCTGTAAGTGAGGACTCCCACCGACTGGCTCCTGAAGGGCTTCGTGGTCTGGCAATATCAGGCCTTCCCCCACAGAAACCCTCAGCCCCCACTGAACTGAACAATAGCCTCCATCCAGCATCCCACAGCAAGGCTCCCACCCTGCCCACTGGCTTGGAGCTTGTCAGCCGGCCCCCCTCGAGCACTGAGCTTGGCCGCCCCCTTTCTCTGGCCTTGGAAGCTGGGAAGTTGCCCTGTGAGGACTCTGAGCTGGATGATGACTTTGATGCCCACAAGGCCCTAGAGGATGATGAGGAGCTTGCTCACTTGGGCCTGGGTGTGGATGTGGCCAAGGGAGATGATGAGCTAGGCACTCTGGAAAACCTGGAGACCAACGATCCCCACCTGGATGACCTGCTCAATGGGGATGAGTTTGACCTCCTGGCCTATACTGACCCTGAGTTGGACACTGGGGACAAAAAGGACATCTTCAATGAGCACTTGAGGCTAGTGGAGTCAGCCAATGAAAAGGCTGAGCGGGAGGCCTTGTTGCAGGGGGTGGAGCCAGGGGTTCTGGGCCCAGAGGAGCGCCCTCCCCCTGCTGCTGATGCCTCTGAGCCCCGTCTGGCATCAGTGCTCCCTGAGGTGAAGCCCAAGGTGGAGGAGAGTGGGCGCCACCCTTCCCCTTGCCAGTTCACCATCACCAGCCCCAAGGTAGAGCCAGCACCTGCCACCGCTTCCCTAGGCCTGGGGCTGAAGCCAGGGCAGAGTGTGATGGGCAGCCGGGACACACGGATGGGCACGGGACCCTTTCCCAGCAGTGGGCGCACAGCTGAAAAGAGCCCCTTTGGAGCCACAGGCGGTCCACCAGCTCACCTGCTAACTGCTAGCCCACTGAGTGGCCCAGGAGGGTCCTCCTTGCTGGAAAAGTTTGAGATGGGGAGTGGGTCCCTGACCTTGCCCGGTGGACATGCAGCATCTGGGGATGAGCTGGACAAGATGGAGAGCTCACTGGTAGCCAGTGAGTTACCCCTGCTCATTGAGGATCTATTGGAGCATGAAAAGAAGGAGCTGCAGAAGAAGCAGCAGCTTTCAGCACAGCTGCAGCCTCCCCAGCAGCAGCAGCAGCAGCAGCAGCAGCACTCTCTACTGCCCACACCAGGTCCTGCCCAGGCCATGTCTTTGCCACATGAGGGCTCTTCCAGTTTGGCTGGGCCTCAGCAACAGCTCGCTCTGGGACTTGGAGGTTCCCGACAGCCAGGCTTGGCCCAACAATTGATGCCCACCCAGCCACCAGCTCATGCCCTTCAGCAGCGCCTGGCCCAACCCATGGCCATGGTGTCCAACCAAGGGCATATGCTAAGTGGGCAGCATGGAGGGCAGGCAGGCTTGGTGCCCCAGCAGGGCCCACAGCCAGTGCTGACACAGAAGCCTGTGGGTGCCATGCCACCATCCATGTGCATGAAACCCCAGCAGTTGGCGATGCAGCAGCAGCTGGCTAACAGCTTCTTCCCAGATACAGGTAACCTCTACTGGGGGCACTGGTTTAGTAACTCAAGGGTGATCACTGTCACTAACAAATGGACACTAAGGCTGCAGACCTAAGATAATTCATAGTTAAGGGAGATGGGGCACAAAGGTTTGACTAGTTAACATATTAGTGGTGTAGGCGGAAGCACTGTAGTTTTTAAGGAGAGAGGAATATTGCCTGGCAGGTAGATATTCAGATATTGGAGTGAATGAATGGGATGAATGCATGAAGCGTGATTAGCAAAGGCTTTGTAGCTATTGTGAGACTGAAAGATTTGGACTTAGATAGAAGTGGTACAAGAGAAAATACTCCAGGTAGGTAAAAAGACTGGAATAGAGTTGACGCTGGAACAATAGGGACCTTACTGGTAAGAAAGCCAGTGGGAGGTATTTGGAGACGAGGTGAAATGGTTAGGCTGGAGTAGACTTTGTATAGAGGGAAGTGAGTGGGTACTGCCATGATTCTGGAGAGGTAAGAAAGGGGGCCAGATTGAAAACGAACTCAAATTATAATGGCATTTATTGAGTAATTACTGTTTATAATCAGTATGCTGAATGCTTTACATTCATTATGTAATCACAAGCTCACTGAACAGGTACTGTTATTATCTTTGACTATAGAAAAGGAAACTGAGGCGTGGAGGTGATAACTTACCCAGTATCACACAACTGACAGCTAGAGTTTGAACCCTGGCCCTCCGATCCTCTTAACTGCGTTGCTGCCTCAAAAGACCAGGGAAGGGAGTTTGGTTAGTCCTTTAAAAAGTGGGCAGTCAGTTAAGTTTTCTGAGTGGTAGAGAAATATACAGTGTATGTGATTTTTAAAAGATTAGAGTTTTTGGTTTGTGCTTACTTCTCCTTTTTCTCCCAGTATCCTGGACAGGCAGGTGAGTGGGCTGCAGGTGGTCCACGTTGGGCCCATGACAGCCTTGGTATCTAGGGCTTTGCCACAGGGCCTGCATCTTGGGTTCCGGGACTGTACTAGTTGCTCTAAGAACACTTCTTTTGAAGAACACTTTCTAAGTCATAAAATGTACAGTTAATCCTTGAACAGTATGAGGTTAAAGGTCCTGACCCCCACGTAGTCATATCTACATGTACAAGGGAGGACCCCAGAAATGGAATTATCTTTTTGGAGGACAGGCGCCCCAGACTTCCATCGCTAGGTGAGCATTCTAGGAACCCATCTGTGTCAGTGTACCAGCTGGCGTTGTTGTGAGACTCTGTGTTTGGCCTCAGTGAATTATTTTTGAAGGCTCTTCAAATGCTTTAGCCCATTTCATGGCGGGTGACTTACAAGTGCATCTGCCCACACTGCACTGAGTGTTCAGCAGTTTTGACCAAAAACAGCATGACCCCTGTGCCACACCCTCCTTATTCACGTGATCTCTCCCTGAGCGATTCAGTTTGTCTTCCTGGATGATAAAAGTCTTCAAAGGGAAACGTTTTGCCACATGAAAGAGGTGAAACAAAATATGGCAGAAGCACTAAAAGGTATCAAAATTGATGAGTTCAAAAAGTTTTGAGCAGGGGGAAGAAGTCTCGATAGGTATATTGCATCAAGTGGAGATTACTTGGAAGGTGACTGAAGTTTAAATATGAGAATAAATACACAATTTTTAATAAATAAATTCTGGGTATTTTTGGTTCCACCCCTTGTAACTTTTGATTTCCCCAAAAACTTAACCGCTAATAGCCTACTGTTAGGTGGAAGCCTTACCTATTAACACAAACAGTCAATTCACACATATTCTGGACTGTACTCTTAACAAAGAAAATGTTACTGAGAAAATCATAAAGAAGAAAAATACATTTTCATTAGTTACTGAAAAAAAATCTGTATGTAATTGGACCCCTGTGGTTCAAACCCATGTTGTTCAAGAGTCAGCTGCACTTCCCTTCTTGTCGTATGTGATCTCAGCAGCTCCATGAGGTAGTAGGAAGTCATGATCTTTACCAAGTAAAGGAGTAAACTGAGGCTCGAACAGGTGGAATAACATTGATAGATTGGCTTAACAAATATTTACTCAGAACAAGTAACAGTTCTGTGGGTAAGTAGACCTGAGTTACCTAGGCTGCCTGGCTCCTAGTCCACTGGCCTTTCCATCATGCTATGCCATTGTTTTGCTTGGCTTCATAGAGGTCAAGGTGTTGTTCGGAGTAGCAGGCATAGAATGGAGCATTGACCACATGCCCAGCTCACTTGGTCTTTCCCTCTCCAGACCTGGACAAATTTGCTGCAGAAGATATCATTGATCCCATTGCCAAGGCCAAGATGGTAGCTTTGAAAGGCATCAAGAAGGTAATGGCTCAGGGCAGCATTGGAGTGGCACCTGGTATGAACAGGTAAGACTTAGATGGGAATTGACCCTTTTCTTTCTCCTTCCTGATCTTCCCTACTTTTCCACCTCTTTGCCTTTCAACTTTCCTCATTACCAACATATCCTCTTTGTTTTGGTAAACTCTAGGCAGCAAGTTTCCTTGCTAGCCCAGAGGCTCTCAGGGGGTACTGGCAGCGATCTACAGAACCATGTGGCAGCTGGGAGTGGCCAGGTAAGTGGTCAGATGGGAGGAAAAACTTGTGTCCTGTGCTTAAGGCTACCCTTCTTAGGGGCTGGTATAGAACAGTGACTCTTTAGCAATCTCTGTCATTGCAGGAGCGGAATGCCAGTGATCCCTCCCAGGCTCGTCCCAATCCTCCCACTTTTGCCCAGGGAGTGATCAGTGAGTATGGGGATGGGGTAGAGCCTACAAGAAAGTGGCTAGGGGCAGGCAAAGAAAGAGGGATTGAGATCACCATTTGTAGGTCCTGACACCCAGCTTTCTTTTTTAGATGAGGCTGACCAGCGGCAGTATGAGGAGTGGCTGTTCCATACTCAACAGCTCTTACAAATGCAGCTGAAGGTACTAGAGGAGCAAATTGGTGTGCACCGCAAATCCCGGAAAGCTCTGTGTGCCAAGCAGCGTACTGCCAAAAAGGCTGGCCGGGAGTTCCCAGAGGCTGATGCTGAGAAGCTCAAGCTCGTTACGGAGCAGCAGAGCAAGATCCAGAAACAGCTAGATCAGGTGGGGAAAGCAGGCTTCAGCCTAATAACTAGGCACCAGGAAAATGGATGGCATGGGTGGGCAGGCCCAAAGCTGATGTCCCCAACCCTTGCCTATTAGGTCCGGAAGCAGCAGAAGGAGCACACGAATCTCATGGCAGAATATCGGAATAAGCAGCAGCAACAGCAGCAGCAGCAGCAGCAGCAACAGCAGCAACAACACTCAGCTGTGCTGGCCCTTAGCCCTTCCCAGAGTCCTCGGCTACTCACCAAGCTCCCTGGTCAACTGCTCCCTGGCCATGCGCTACAGCCACCGCAGGGGCCCCCCAGTGGGCAAGCTGCAGGTCTTCGCCTGCCCCCAGGGGGCATGGCACTACCTGGACAGCCTGGTGGGCCCTTCCTTAACACGACCCTGGCCCAACAGCAACAACAGCAACATTCTGGTGGGGCTGGGGCCCTAGCAGGCCCCTCAGGGGGCTTTTTCCCTGGCAACCTTGCTCTTCGTGGCCTGGGAACTGATTCGAGGCTTTTGCAGGAAAGGCAGATGCAGCTACAGCAGCAGCGCATGCAGCTTGCCCAGAAACTGCAGCAGCAGCAGCAGCAACAGCAACAGCAGCATCTCCTAGGTCAGGTGGCCATCCAGCAGCAGCAGGGCCCAGGGGTACAGGCAAACCAGGCTCTGGGTGCCAAGCCTCAGGGGCTTCTGCCTTCCAGCAGCCATCAGGGCCTCTTGGTTCAGCAGTTGTCCCCTCAACCACCTCAGGGGCCCCAGGGCATGCTGGGCCCTGCCCAGGTGGCAGTGTTGCAGCAGCAGCAGCAGCAGCAGCAACAGCATCCTGGAGCTTTGGGCCCCCAGGGCCCTCACAGACAGGTGCTTCTGACCCAGTCCCGGGTGCCGAATTCACCTCAGCTGGCACAGCAGAGTCAGGGCCCTATTGGACACCGACTGGTCACAGCCCAGCAACAGCAGCAGCACCAACAGCAGGGATCTATGGCAGGGCTTTCTCATCTTCAACAGGGTCTGTTGCCACATAGTGGGCAGCCCAAACTTAGCGGTCAACCAATGGCCTTACAGCAACAGCAACTACAGCAACAGCTACAGCAGCAGCAGCTGCAGCAGCAACACTTACAACAGCAACAGCAGCAACACTTACAGCAGCAGCAACAGCTGCAGCAGCAGCAACAGCAGCAGCAGATAGGCCTCTTAAACCCGAGTCGAACTTTACTGTCTCCTCAGCAACAGCAGCAGCAGCAGGTGACAGTTGGTCCTGGAATGCCAGCCAAGCCTCTGCAACACTTTTCTAGCCCTGGAGCCCTGGGCCCAACGCTCCTCCTAACAGGCAAGGAGCAAAGCATTGTAGAGACTCCTCTTCCTCCAGAGGCCACTGAGGGGCCCTCCACACATCAGGGAGGGCCAGGAGCAATAGGGACTGTACCTGAAACAGTGGCTGCTGAACCAGGGGAAGTAAAGCCCTCACACTCTGGGGACTCACAACTCCTACTCATCCAGCCCCAGCCCAACTCTGTGCCTCTGCAGCCACCTCTAAGGCTCCCAGGACAGCAGCAACAGCAAGTTAACTTACTCCACGCAACAGGTGTGGGAAACCAAGGGCAACCAAACAGTGGATCATCTTCAGAGGCCTCTTCTATGCCACACCTGCTGGCTCAATCCTCTGTCTCCTTAGGGGAGCAGCCTGGGCCCATGACTCAGAACCTTTTGGGCTCCCAACAGCCCCTTGGATTAGAGCGGCCCTTGCAGAATAATGCAGGGCCACAGTCTGCCAAACCAGGATCTGTCTCCCACTCCGGGCAGGGCCTGCCCGGGGCTGGAGTCATGCCCACAGTGGGTCAGCTTCGAGCACAGCTCCAAGGAGTTTTGGCTAAAAACCCACAGTTGCGGCACTTGAGTCCTCAGCAGCAGCAGCAGCTGCAGGCACTGCTTATGCAGAGGCAGCTACAGCAGAGTCAGGCAGTACGCCAGACCCCACCCTATCAGGATCCTGGGACCCAGCCCTCTTCCCTCCAGGGCCTCCTAGGCCGTCAACCCCAACTTGGGGGTTTCTCTGGATCACAGACAGGTCCCCTTCAGGAGTTAGGGGCAGGGCTTCGACCTCAGGGCCCACCCGGGCTCCCTGCCCCACTAGGAGCCTTATCAACTGGACCAGTCCTTGGTCCTGTTCATCCCACACCTCCACCATCCAGCCCACAAGAGCCAAAGAGACCTTCTTCACAATTACCGTCCCCCAGCTCCCAGCTCCCCTCTGAGGCCCAGCTTCCTCCTACCCAACCAGGGACCCCAAAACCCCAGGGGCCACCCTTGGAGTTGCCTCCTGGGAGGGTCTCACCTGCTGCTGCCCAGCTTGCAGAGACCTTCTTTGGCAAGGGGCTGGGACCTTGGGATCCCCCAGACAACCCAGCAGAAGCACAGAAGCCAGAACAGAGCAGCCTGTTACCTGGGCATCTGGAGCAGGTGAATGGGCAGGCAGTGCCAGAGCCATCTCATCTCAGCATCAAGCAGGAGCCTCGGGAAGAGCCGTGTGCCCTGGGAGCCCAGGTGGTGAAGAGGGAGGCCAACGGGGAACCAATAGGGGCACCAGGTACCAGCAACCACCTTCTGCTGGCAGGCCCCCGCTCAGAGGCTGGGCATCTGCTCTTGCAAAAGCTTCTACGAGCAAAGAATGTGCAACTCAGCACTGGGCGGGGGCCTGAGGGGCTGCGAGCGGAGATCAACGGGCACATTGACAGCAAGTTGGCTGGGCTGGAGCAGAAACTACAGGGTACCCCGAGCAATAAGGAGGTGAGTACTCTAGCTAGTGTGGAGCAGGTAGAGTGGGGCCTGGAATGTGGGGCAGAGTGAGCAGCTCTTGGTCAAATAGAAGAGGTGAGGGTTCTGAGGAGGACAGCAGTCTTCACTTTGGCTTTATCTGGCTTAGGATACAGCAGCCAGGAAGCCTATGACACCGAAGCCCAAGCGGGTGCAGAAGGCAAGCGACAGGTTGGTGAGCTCCCGAAAGAAGCTGCGGAAGGAGGACGGGGTCAGGGCCAGCGAGGCCTTGCTGAAACAGCTAAAACAGGTGACCCACAGGAGCCAGTCCCCTGGTCCCAACCCAGGATGGGGGCACCCTGGCCCCCAGCTGTGCAGCAATAGAGATGTATGTACTGCAGTTTTCCAACCTTGTCATCTTGCCCCTCCTAGGAGCTGTCCCTGCTACCCCTAACGGAGCCTACCATCACCACCAATTTTAGCCTCTTTGCTCCTTTTGGCAGTGGCTGCCCAATCAATGGGCAGTGCCAGCTGAGGGGGGCCTTTGGAAGTGGGGTGCTGCCCACTGGCCCTGACTACTATTCCCAGCTGCTTACCAAGGTCAGAAAATGGCAATATCTTTTGGGGATAATGAGGTCCTTGGGGAGGTGGAGGTGGGGGTGGAAGACTTGAGGAAATTGCTGATATAGTGTGGGGCCAGGAGATTATGTCAGTCTCCCTATGCTTCCTTGCACACAACACCCCACCCCACCCCCAGAATAACCTGAGTAACCCGCCGACACCACCCTCGTCGCTGCCCCCCACCCCACCCCCATCGGTGCAGCAGAAGATGGTGAATGGTGTCACCCCATCTGAAGAGCTGGGGGAGCACCCCAAGGATACTGCCTCTGCCCGAGATACTGAAGGGACGCTGAGGGGTAAGTCAGGAGCAGAGTGGGCCTCTCTTCTAGGAGGTTATTAGTGGCTGGGGTCCAAGCCTGTCATTGTGTCCTGTTGTACAGTTTGAGATAGGAATAGCTGCATGGGGCCATGTGTCCATACACAACAGGTACCTGAGATAAAAGGGGCCTCCTCAGGACTGATTTGTTGGGGACCAGGATGGGCGTCTGGAGTCTAGAGCCAAGGTAGAGAGGGAGCATGTTAATGAAACTTTTGCTTATGACGAACAGACAGCGTCAGTGGGTATGGAACAGCTGTCAGATCTCGGTACAAATCCTGGCGTCCTGTGTTCATATAACCTTGTTACTGTAGCCCAGTAACTTGATTGACTTGTGAGAGCCTGAGATTCCTCACTGTAAAATAGGTATTATAATACTTTCCTAAGGAATTTGTTAGATTTTTTTTAAGACCTTATTTGTTTTTAGAGAGGGGATAGGAGGGAGAAAGAGAGGGGGAGAAACATTGATGTGCAAGAGAGAAACATCAGTCAGTTGCCTCTTACATACCCTCAACTGGGGACCTGGCCTGCAATCCAGGCATGTGCCCTGATTGGGAATCAAAATGACCTTTCAGCTTGCAGAACAGCACCCAGCCCATTTAGCCACACCAGTTAGGGCAGGAGTTGTTAAAATATATAGGCTGTACCTAAAGCCCAGGGTCTGGCACATTGGAAATGCTCAGATATAGTTCATCTGCTCCAAACTGGTAGATGGGTGGATGTGTAGACAGTGGTCATGGTAACTAAGCTAGATCTTATACTAGTTAAGCTGAAATGTGGTGGAGAAAACACCATCAGCTCTGGCCACCCTCAGCCTGACTTTTCTTCTCCCCGCCTACCCCTCAGATGCTTCAGAGGTGAAGAGTCTAGACCTGCTGGCTGCTTTGCCTACACCCCCTCACAATCAGACTGAGGATGTCAGGTGGGGATTGGGCTAGAAATGGGGGTGAGGAACGAGGGTAGGGGGCAGGTTGTGTTATTTTTCCTTTGGTCAATGACAGGTTTTAAGTAAGGTTGTATACCTGCTATCTCTACATTGGAGGTAGGCGGGTGGGGGGTGTTGGGGGTCTGAAGGGCTGTAGCATCAAATGTTCACTTTTGGCCTACAGGATGGAGAGCGATGAGGACAGTGATTCTCCTGACAGCATTGTGCCAGCTTCATCCCCCGAGAGCATCCTGGGGGAGGAGGCACCTCGTTTCCCTCAGCTGGGCTCGGGCCGATGGGAGCAAGAAGACCGGGCTCTCTCCCCTGTCATCCCCATCATTCCTCGGGCCAGCATTCCAGGTAAGGACTGCCCTGAACATGGACCTGGTGGGCTGGGTTGTCAGAGCTGGGGCAGAGGGGCAGCTGGGGCTCATACAGGTCCCTCTTTCTCATTTAGTCTTCCCAGATACCAAACCTTATGGGGCCTTGGACCTGGAGGCCCCTGGGAAACTACCTGCCACAACTTGGGAAAAGGGCAAAGGAAGTGAGGTGTCTGTCATGCTGACAGTCTCTGCTGCTGCAGCCAAGGTGTGTCCTGGGGGTGCCTCAGAGGCCTGGTGGGTACCAATCCAGAGGGCAGTCCCTGCAGCTAGTCTGGGTAAACATGGTCATTCAGAACTGTGTACTGAGGGTCTGCTGTGTGTAAAAGCCTGGGTGAGTGGCTATGGGGTTAGAGTATGTGGACCCCCTGCGGTAAAGGAGAATATATAATGTGAGAAGACAGCATGGCCCTGTCACATACGGTGAAATTGTTTTTTCCTTAAATTTTAAGTGTTTTGTTGTCAAAGAAAACGGGAAGTCCCAGTTAAAACAACAAAACAGGCCCTGGCTGGTGTAGGTCAGTGAATTGAGTGCAGGCTTGCGAACCAAAGTATCACAGTTCGATTCCCAGTCAGGGCACATGCCTGGGTTGCAGGCCAGTTCCCAGTGGGGGACACACGAGAGGCAACCATACATTGATATTTCTCTCCCTCTCTCCTTCCCTTCCCCTCTAAAGATAAATAAATAAAATCTTTAAAAAAACAAACAAAAAAAAAACCAACAAGGCTCCTTACTACTAGACCCCTCAGTTTCTTTAATTTGCTAATGTGTCACAGATCTTTCAGGTTGGGGGTACAATGTGTATCATTTCCTAAACTTAGTTGCCACAGGCCCCTTTTTGTGGAGCTCCTCTTACGGCTCATGGTGCTTTGGGCAAGGCTACTATAAAGCAAGCACGTGAGAAGAGCTGGGTGGCACAGGGACTGGACTGACCAGCCGCTGGGGAGTTGCGTTCCAGGTGTCCTTGTCCCTGCCAAGCCGGTGGTGGTGCTCACTGTGCACACCCTGCCAACACAGCTCTCTCCTCCCGTCCCCTGCCCTGGCAGAACCTGAATGGTGTGATGGTGGCTGTGGCAGAGCTACTAAGCATGAAGATCCCCAACTCCTATGAGGTGCTGTTCCCAGAGAGCCCCGCCCGGGCAGGCATTGAGCCCAAGAAGGGGGAAGCTGAGGGTCCTGGTAAGTGTGGCAGGAGAACACCTTGGGACCTAAGGGGAATGATTCTGGCAGGAGACTGTAACCCCTCCTTCCTGCAGGTGGGAAGGAGAAGGGTCTGGGAGGCAAGAACCCAGAAGCTGGCCCTGACTGGCTGAAGCAGTTTGATGCAGTGTTGCCTGGCTATACTCTTAAGAGCCAGCTAGACATCTTGAGCCTCCTGAAACAGGTGGGTTTGGGGAGAAAAAGGGGTATGTCTCTGGGCAGGGTGGGGGAAGCAGAGAGTGGAATCTGGGTAGGAGGAGGGAGGGGTGGTTAAGTGAGGGGCTGGCATTAACCATACAGGGCTTGTGCCCTTCTCCCATAGGAGAGCCCTGCCCCAGAGCCACCTACCCAACACAGCTACACCTACAATGTCTCTAACCTGGACGTTCGACAGCTTTCGGCCCCACCTCCTGAAGAACCTTCCCCTCCCCCATCCCCCTTGGCACCCTCTCCTGCCAGCCCGCCGGCTGAACCCCTAGTTGAACTCCCAGCTGAACCCTTAGTTGAGCCGCCAGTCCCCTCACCTCTGCCCCTGGCCTCATCCCCTGAATCTGCCCGGCCCAAACCCCGAGCCCGGCCCCCTGAAGAAGGTGAAGATTCCCGGCCCCCTCGGCTCAAGAAGTGGAAAGGGGTGCGCTGGAAGCGGCTGCGGCTGCTGCTGACCATCCAGAAGGGCAGTGGGCAGCAGGAGGATGAGCGGGAAGTGGCAGAGTTTATGGAACAGTTTGGCACAGCCCTGCGACCTGACAAGGTGCCTCGGGACATGCGGCGCTGCTGCTTCTGTCATGAGGAGGGTGATGGGGCCACTGATGGGCCCGCGCGTTTGCTGAACCTGGACCTGGACCTGTGGGTGCACCTCAACTGCGCGCTGTGGTCCACAGAGGTCTATGAGACCCAGGGCGGGGCACTGATGAATGTGGAGGTGGCCCTGCACCGAGGACTGCTAACCAAGTGCTCCTTGTGCCAGCGTACTGGTGCCACCAGCAGCTGCAATCGCATGCGTTGTCCCAACGTCTACCATTTTGCCTGCGCCATCCGCGCCAAGTGCATGTTCTTTAAGGACAAGACTATGCTATGTCCGATGCATAAGATCAAAGGGCCCTGTGAGCAAGAGCTGAGCTCTTTTGCTGTCTTCCGGCGGGTCTACATTGAGCGGGATGAGGTGAAGCAAATTGCTAGCATCATCCAACGCGGAGAGCGCCTGCACATGTTCCGGGTCGGGGGCCTTGTGTTCCACGCCATTGGACAGTTGCTTCCTCACCAGATGGCTGACTTCCACAGTGCCACTGCCCTTTATCCTGTGGGCTATGAGGCCACACGCATCTACTGGAGCCTCCGCACCAACAACCGCCGCTGTTGCTATCGCTGTTCTATTGGTGAGAACAATGGGCGGCCAGAGTTCATAATCAAAGTCATCGAGCAGGGCCTGGAGGACCTGGTCTTCATCGATGCCTCTCCCCAGGGTGAGCACTGGGCCCTGGAAATGCTAGTGTGGAGTTGGGCGAGTTTCTCCTGGAACCACCGTTACAATGTCAAAAAGGGGTCTGCAGGGTCTTTGTGAGTGATCTTTCTCCCTCTACCTAGGCGAGGTAGAGGTCTCTTGAAGGTCCCCAGAAAAAATGTCTTAGCCTCTCTTACTCACCTTAAATTCCCTTGTGATTGAAGAGATTTTGCCTGTCTAACTTCATTCTGGCTCCTTTTCCTGTCCTCAATGGAACAAAAGGATACAGTTCTGAGACCTTACCATCTGGATCACCCAACCTGATCCTAACCATGCGTTCCCTTTGGTTGCTTTTCTCTGGACAATATTCTTTTGATCTTAGTTTTAGTGTTAATGAATGATGAAAAATAACACTAAGAGTAGTTACCTTTTAGTGAACCTTTAGAAGTGTGCCACAAACTAAGCTAAGTGATTTATATAGATTCTTTAGTTCACATAGCCCTCTGAGGTAAGTAGTAGTATTATGCCCAGGTTATACATAAAGAACTGAGTCTTAGAGAGATTTGAATATTTGGCTTAAGGTCCCATGGTGAGTACTAGAACCTGAACCCAAGTCTTTCAATGCCAAAGCATGCCTGTTCTGGCTCTCCACAAGGCCCATGACCTGTGTCAGGACTCCTGGACCTGGTTCATGTTTCTGTGTCACAAGGCACTCTGATACCCCTATGAGGTGGGAAGTGTCACTTGTGGAGGGAGAGTGGGACTGAGAGGCCATGAGTGACAGGGAGGTGTGTAGACTATAGGAAACAACTATAGCTCCAGATCAAGGTTAGGGCTGGGCTTGCTGCGCAGCAGTTCCCTCTGAGGGTTCCTCTTTTTCCTTGCCTCTTAGCTGTATGGAATCGCATCATCGAGCCGGTGGCTGCCATGAGGAAAGAGGCTGACATGCTGCGGCTCTTCCCTGAGTACCTGAAAGGCGAAGAGCTCTTTGGGCTGACGGTGCACGCTGTGCTACGCATAGCTGAATCAGTAAGGAGGGGCTGGGGGCCAGGTGGGCACTGAGAACTTTGGTCCTGCCCCCAGAAGTGCTCAGGCTAAGGTGAGCATGACCTGTCCCCACAGCTGCCTGGAGTGGAGAGCTGTCAAAACTATTTATTCCGCTATGGACGCCACCCCCTAATGGAGCTGCCACTCATGATCAACCCCACTGGTTGTGCCCGATCAGAGCCTAAAATCCTCACACACTACAAACGGTGAGCTTGCAGGGCTGGGGCCAAGGGATGTGGGTATGGGGGTTGGTGGGGACCCTCCGGCCAATTGAGGGTTTGGGGTTACAGATTAGAATTCCCTCACAGAAACTGGGTGTTTATGCTAAGCCTCCTGATTAGAGCATATGCAGGCATTACTAGGGCATCCCTTTCCCTTGTCCCCAACCTGCTCAGGTGTCCTGGGTTGACCTGGGGTCTAAGACAGACTTACCTCAGGCGTCCTAGGAATGGCTGGTTCTGGGAGGTTCTGGGTAGACAGTGGTGAGATTGTATGAAGTCTGTGAGGGAGCCAGTCACCTCCTTACTCTCCTGTTTTGCCCGAGATTGTATTGTATGAAGTCTGTGAGGGAGCCAGTCACCTCCTTACTCTCCTGTTTTGCTCCCAGGGGGCCTGTGATTCTCCCATGAGTTATAGGGTCACCTTCCCAGGCTAAGTTGGTTTTGAAAGTAAATAATTAGAAATATAATAGAAGAATAATAAAACCTTAAATTTGTATAGCACTTTATACTTTTTTTTTCAAAGCGTTTTCACATCCATTATCTCATTTGATCCTCACAACAACCTTATGAGGTAGGTAGGGCAGGTGGTATGACCCCCGTTGTACAGCTGAGAAAACCGAGACCCAGAAAGGCTAAGTGACTAGACAAAGGTCACAGCTGGGACCAAAGCCTTACGTGTTGACTTGTGGTTTCCTGTTCCTTCTGTTACCACAGTAGCCTACCCTTGGTCCCTGGGTAGAGGGGAGGCAGAATTCGCAGTAGCAGGGCTTTTGTGAAGGCCTCCGGTCGTAGAGCGTCAGATTCTACCGCAGTCAGCCCTAGTCCCTGATGCTCTACAACAGTGGTTTTCAAACTGTGTGCATTCCAGAAAGCCCTGGAACACGCAGACGAGTGGGCAGGACTTGGCCCTCCTTGTGTGTGACTCCTCCTTCCTCAAATTGAGTTCACCTGGAAGAGTTTCGTTTTCATGTAGGTTATACATTGGCGTTCCAATAGCATTTGTTAAGGAAAAAAAGATTTCTGCTAAATAAAAAGTTTAAAAATGTTTGAAAACCACTGCTCTGGGATGGGGAAGACTTTGGCCGGCGCCCTGGGGTGGTGAAAAGGCATGCTGCCGGCAGCAGTCATTCCCCTGCACTGAGCCGTCCGCGCAAAGCCCAGTGTCACCTCGGAGGAGGGCATGGTCTGAAGAAAGGGAAGGGTACCACCTTTCTGCTGCAAACTCAGAGCCAGTTTTAATTCAAGTCCAGTCCAATGTGGTAAACACGGCCCCATTTTCAGGGCTTCCAGTATGTGCAGGAGGTAGGGCTCGGATGTTTTATCAAACCGTGAGCTTAAATTCCAGGCCTGGGCCGCTTGGGGAATTCCTCCCAGAGGAGCATGGCCCCGAGTACGGTTTGACAGGAGGGTGGTCGTGGTAGAAGGTGGGGAGATGGGAGAGCAGGCTCAGTGTAGGGGAATTGGTGCCTCCCTTCCCTCCACTCCCCACCCCCCATCCTGGTCTCTCTGTGCCACCCAGAGTGTTGGGAGGGTCCCCATAGCTAGTCGATACCTCACTAAAGCCAAGATCCAGATGCCTCCACTCCATTCCCAAGGCAGCACATGCCCCTCACTTGGCATGTTGCACATCCCAGGGAGGAGACGGGTGGTGTGTGCTTGGTCTGAGGGAGAGCTGTCCTGTCATGCACTGTGTCACCTCCCAGGCCCCACACCCTGAACAGCACCAGCATGTCCAAGGCATATCAGAGCACCTTCACAGGCGAGACTAACACCCCATACAGCAAGCAGTTCGTGCACTCCAAGTCATCTCAGTACCGGCGGCTGCGCACTGAGTGGAAGAACAATGTGTATCTGGCTCGCTCCCGCATCCAGGGCCTGGGCCTCTATGCAGCCAAGGACCTAGAAAAGCACACAATGGTTATTGAGTACATTGGCACCATCATTCGCAATGAGGTGGCCAACCGGCGGGAGAAAATCTATGAGGAGCAGGTATGGACTGAGGGGGGCTGGTGCATGGTCTATGCTCACCCAAGGAACAGGGGGCAGGATATGGGCCGGGCAGCAGGTGGGAAACTGGGAGGAGGAGGTGAGAGGCAGGAGAAAGGGAAGATAAGAAATGAAGCCCACTCATTGCTTGAGTCTGCTACCCGATCCTACCACCACACCACAGCCATTCTCTGATGCTCTTGCCCCTTCTGCATCTTTTGCCTTTCTAGAATCGTGGCATCTACATGTTCCGGATAAACAATGAGCATGTGATTGATGCTACGTTGACTGGAGGTCCTGCCAGGTGAGAGGAATTAGGAGGGATGGATTTACAGGTCCCTGAGGGTGATATGCTGGGAGGAAGCCAACAATGAACCAAAATCATCCCAACTCAATCACCTGTCATCCCTGACTCTGTCTCACTGCCTAGGTACATTAATCATTCGTGTGCCCCTAACTGTGTGGCGGAAGTTGTAACATTTGACAAGGAGGATAAAATCATCATCATCTCCAGCCGGCGAATCCCCAAAGGAGAGGAGGTGAGAGGAAACATCCTGAGTGAGCGACAGACCAGCTCTCTGTTCTCTGCCATCCCCCAGAGCCAAGTTCTGCCCTCAAATTGGTCATCTCTGTCCTCTCCATTTCCTCCAGCAGGGCTGATACTGATTCTGCCCTCTTCTCTTAACAGCTGACCTATGACTATCAGTTTGACTTTGAGGACGATCAGCACAAGATCCCCTGCCACTGTGGAGCCTGGAATTGTCGGAAATGGATGAACTAAAAAGCTTTGAGGCTACCAGGCAGGGGAGTCCCTCCACCCCCAACCTCTTCCCTGAAAGGGATGAGGGGGAAGAGAGGTAGCGGCCAGAGCCAGGACCCAGGGCTGGGGCTGCCGGCTGACCGGAGCCCCTGGAGCAGGAGGCTGGGGCAGAGGGCCCTAGGCCAAGCCCACCCTGGGCACCAGGGACAACCCTCTTCCCGCCACCGGCCCCTAGGCTGGCATCTCTGCCCCCAGCTCCAGGAGGGGCCAGACAGAAGCAGCCATTGGGCATCTCAGGTTTGAGGGGGATATGGGCCGGGAACTACCCAGAAGCATCTGGGAGGCAGCAGGGAGGGGGGAGGAGGATGTGTGGCCGGGCCTCACAGCCCTGCTGCTCCCACCGACCTCTCCGGCCCAACTCAAGGCTGCAAAGAGACTTGACTAAGCTTGACAATCCCAAAGGCCGGGTCCCACACCTGGCCCTGCCTGCCGGGTCCTGCCCCCACCCTCACCCCCATCCCCTTCCTCCTCAATCTGTCTGTCTCCCTCTTCTCCTCTGTGTTTCTGTCTCTCTATGGGTTTTGTTTCCTTGTTTTCCACTCTGACAAATGCAACATGAACGGGAAAGAGGTGCCCAGCTGCCCAGGAGGGCAAGCCGGGCAAGCCGGGCAAGGAGACCCCGCACCCACACCTACCTCATTTAAGTGTTGGATTTTTTGCTGTTTTGAAATGTGAGACCCTCTCCAAGCCCCCTACTGCCCCAACCCTCTCCCCCACCTCACTGCCCTCTTCTGAGTGGGTGGAAGGGGGGTAGGAGGAGGAAGAAAAAACAACAACAAAAAATCCATCTTTGTTTTTAATTCTGGGCATGGGATGGCGGTTGAGGCTAATGATGATGAAGATTGGGGATGACTGGCCCCTAGTTGTTCTAGGACTTCCTTCTCCATCTGGACGTGGGGGCGGGAGGGACGTGCTAAACCTAGGACCAGGATATCACCCTCCTGTTTTCCCAACCCCATCATGAGCCCATTTGCCCTCCAGCCCCTGGATGGGGCAGGTGGGTGGTAGGGTGAGGGCTATCCCTGAGTGGCATGCCCATACCCAGTGAGGCAGGGTGTGGCCCGGAGCTCCCACTTTCCCTCAGTCACCAAACTGCTGCTGGTCTGGTGGGAAGGGGTGGTGATGTGGGGGTGGGGAGCTTAGTGTCAGCGCGGGGAGGGTGGGGGGTATTTATCTATTTATACATGGGATTGTACATAGTCTTGTGGGGGATGGGGGAGCCGGCTGGAGGTGAGAACCCTCCCCTCTCCCCCGACCCCCGGGGAGAGCAAATGTAAAACTACTAATTTTTGTGCTTTATATATTCTATATAAATATATCTATTTTCTTTTTACAAAACCAGTTTATAAATGGTAGGGGGGCGTGGGGCGGACACATGGAGCTCCCCTTGTGGGGGGGCCCCCTCCATTACCCAACCTACCGCCCTTTTCCTCACCCCCTCCTCCCCACCCCCTGGCTGTGACTGCTGTAAGGTGGGGGTATAGAGGCTGGGCAATTCCCACCCCTATTGTATAGTTGGACTATGTTATAACGCACAAAAGTGAGCTGGCCCCAGGGGGAGCCAGAGGGTGATGGGTTCCCTGCCTCCCTTTCCTTTCCCTTTCTGCCCAAGCTTGTGCTGCAGTTGAACCTCTTCCTGGGATAGGGGTAGATCAGGGGGTGGGTGAGGCTCCAGACCCCTGTGTGGTAGGGAGCCATGGGGATGAAGATGAAGCTTATATGCAGTTCTCTCCTAGGGGCTGTGGGCAAAGGGCATTTTGTAATTAATATTTTCAAGAATCAAATGTCTGGAGTGTAAGAATGGGCTTGGTGGTTGGTGGTGGATGGGCGGGCCTGCTGGAGGGGGAGCATGGTCGCTGTTGTGATTTTAGGTTTGTTTTTGTTTTGTTTTTGAATTTGGGGGGTTGCGGATTGATGGGGGTAGGGAGATTTTTTTTTTTAAGCTGCTTCCTCAACTGTTTCAAGATGCAAATGTTTAAGAGAATGACATCCCTCCATCCTCACAGAAACCACTGTAATTAAATCAGACAGTGGGGAGACTGGGCTGCTGCCACCAAAGCCATTGGATGTTCCTTTTCCAAGAGCAAAAAAAAAGGTCTAGGCTACAGGGAAGGGGAGATTGGCTCCTGTAAGTCAGGCTCTGGTTGGGGCCTGGACCCTGGGACTGGTGAAGGGGAGGGGGCAGACTTTGTAAGCATATGCTAGGTGTCCAATAGTCCTGTAGAATTTAGTGAAGAAACCTTATACACTTTTTAATTTTTATATGAACTAACTCAGACCCAAGCTACAAGGTTGGAATTTTGGTTGTTGTTTTTCTTTTTCTTTTTTTTAAGTACCCCGCCTGTATAATTGCATCAGAATTCCCTCCTCCCCCTCCCCCCCGTGTTTGTATTTTGGGTTGGTTTACACTTGCACATACTCAATTTTCAGTTTTTCCCCTTTACAGTCTTCTCCCTTCACCTCCAGGACCCTCCCCCTTTTTAAAAAATAAATCGCTGACAAGTGTGAATCCCGTGAAGACTTTATTTTGTGTTGTGTGTATCCTGTACAGCAAGGTTGGTCCTTCGTAACAGCGGATGAAATGATTCCCCTTTTTAAAGCGCCCTCTCTCCCTCCACCCCCAGCGCCCCTGTCCTTGGCATGTTTTGTATCAGCGATCATTCTGAACTGTACATAATTTATGTTGCAAGAGGCAAAGGGCAAGTTTTGGATTTTGCTTCTTCCAAGTTTGTTTTTAAACGACAAATAAAAAAAGAACATTTTAAATAACAAGCGGCTCCGTCCAGTCACCCTCGCCGTCAGCCCACATGTGAGGTCCGAGGGAAGGGCAGTTACCAGGCCATTGCGCGCCGGAGAAGCGAACTCCGCGCCTTCCGCCTTTGGCTGGCGTTTGTCCTGACGTAGGCGGAAGTGGCGTTGCGGCACCGGATGTGGGACGAGGCCTCCTCCGCTTTCCTGGCGAACTTCCTAAAGCGGACGCACCCAACGGGCGCCTCCCGCAATGGAGACGGTGAGAAGCGCGGGAGGGCGGCGGGGGGCGCTGTGGAGCCCGAGACCCCCGTTAGTACCTGGGAAGCTTGGGCAGGGGCGGGCGCTTGTGCCCAGTAAACGAGAAGCCGGGTGTCTGTCCTGCCTTCGACCCTGCCCCTGTGCTCCTTTGCGGGGTTCGCCTCCGGCGACTGGGCCGCGCTGTCCTGCCTTCCGTCCGACGTACTGCCAACCTCTGCGGGTAGTGACAAGTGACACCTAGTTCCCTTCTTGGTCTCGCGCACACCGTGTCGATCTCGAGACTCCTTTCATCCTAGTACCTCAGGCCCCTCAGGTTGTGATTTGCCTTTCCCGGGGCCCCCTTTCCCAGTTATCACCTGGCCCGGGTTGTCTTTAAGTGTGATTGGTCCGTGCAATCCTTTGCAGGAAAGACATCCGAAAGACTTTCGTACTGCCTCAGGGTGTCCAGGGAGGTCACATTCTCTTAGTAAGACTGGAAAGTGCGGTTTCCCTGAAGGAGGGATCGTTCAGTGGTAGAGGCCTCTGTGTCCCTGGGCAAGTTTTCGGTCATGCCCACCTCTGCGAATCTAAACAGGCGTGTTGGCATAACTCGTTCTTGGCGAGCAGGCATTGACCATTGTGGCAGGTCTCTGTCATCCTTCCTGAGATGCTGCTTGGTGGACCCACCCTCACTCTCAGGAGACTTTTCTAGCACTCTGGAACCCTTCTCATTCACTTTTCTCTCCAAGAGTTTTTAACCATATATCCTCTGTCGGGTAGAGTAATTCTTCCTGTCTTAGTTTTGGTCTGCTACGGTAGTTTTGTACGGGCTGCAGGTTCACCTTTCTTTGGGTCAGTTACCTGCCTGGAGTAATTATTGTACCGCATCCTTTCTCTACCCTGCAGAGAGGTCAGATTATAAAGAAAATAGACCAGAGCGGTAAAGTGATTTGCAGTTGGTCACCCAGGCAAGGGAGCCAGTTCTTACAGTTTAAGAGAATTTTGAGCAAGAATAAAAGACCTGATTCCATAAATTCAAAGTGACATACCAGTTTTTACTAATAAATGTATCATGGTTTATGGAGTTTTTTTATGTAGATTTTCTAATTTAACCCTCACACTTTATGTACTGGATTAGGTTCTTGGGGTAGAAATTATGTTTAAAAGAAAATAAATTAAAACCCCTGCTTTGAAAATGTTCAGCCATGCCTTGGCCAGTATGTCTCAGTTGGTCGGAGCATTGTCCCATTCACCTAAGGGTTGTAGGTTTGATTCCCAGTCAGGACACATACCCAGGTTGTGGGTTTAATCCCCAGTCAGGGTGCATTTGGGAGGCAACCTATCCATGTTTCTCATATCAATGTTTCTTTCTCTCTCAAATTAATAAATACATATTTTTTTTCAAGAAAAGATAATAGCCTAATTGAAGTAAGGGTGAGGGTATGCTGGTGACCGCTATTATTTAGACTGCAACAAAAAAAATGCTGTCAGCAAGATGCAAAGGACCATGGAAGTGTAGGGGAGGGAGAGATTAGTGCAAACCCGAGAGAGGCACTACAGATTGAGAAAACAGTGTGAGCAAGGGCATAAAAATTGGGGTGTGTAGAGATTCATTTGGGATGAACCAGTGGCTTAATGTTGCTGGAGTCTTGGATTTTGATCACAGTGGGGGAAAAGACTGGGAAAGTAGGCTGAAGTCAGGTTAAAGATACTGCATACCTCGTTAAGTTCGATCCTTGTTTTGTAATAAGGGAACCTGTGAAGATTTATGAGCAAGGCAGTGAATGTGCTTTAAGAGTGTTCTTACCAGCTTTCTGTAAATGGATGGATCTACTTCAGAAAGTAGTGAGTTCCTAGTTGCTGGAGATGAAAGTCCCTCCCAAACCTGAGATGCTTGCAAAAGAACTTGATGACAGCATGAAAGAAGAATTAAAGAAGAGGTAGGTTGAGGGCGGGTAGACCAGTTTAGAGAATGTTGCAAAAGTGAAAGATAAAAGCCTAACGTAGAGCTGTGGAAGGGTAAAGGAGAGAGACAGATCTGAGGCATTTCTGACATACCAGTTTAGCTGACAGATGTTAAGGACAAGTCAGGTCATGCCCTTCTCTGTAATTCTAGCAGACATATTGGCCCAGCTTATTCTTGGAGGAATCAAGCCTATAGTTTTTAAGCACCTAGGAGGAGAGCAATGCCAAAAACAAAGATGGGAACCACAGCAAGCATAGTAGGGTCGGAGGGACAGATGCTGCTCTGTCTTATATTGAAGCGTTCGAGGAGCCTGCAACATCTGTGTTGTGTAGAAATGATTGGAAATGTGGATCAGGAGTTTGAAAGAAATTGTGAGTCTATGTGTCAGATCTAGCCTGTGTCTCTGTACTAATATTTTGAATTTATGTAGTACTGTGGTAGTTTCTCAGGTCCCCTATGTTGCTAAAAGTAGAGGGGGGTCCAGGCCAGGTGGCTTACTTGGTTAGAATGTTGTCCCATACACAAAAAGGTTAAGGGTTCAACCCCTGGTTGGGGCATGTATGGGAGGCAACCAATTGATGTTCCTTTCTCTCTCTCCCTCGTCCCTTCCTCCTTCCCTCTTTCCCTCCTTCTCTCTTTCTCTCTCTCTCTAAAAGATCAATAACCATATCCTTGGGCGAGGATTAAAAAATATTAAAGAAATGTAGAGGTGAATGGACACAATTACCCCCATTTCTGTGTAGAGAGATAGGCAGAAAGATAAAGTCTTAATCAGTTGTATCTGACTCTCTTCTGTAGGTATCTGCATAACTATTTAGCAGAAAGTCTCTTTTTTCTCTCCGTAACTTAGTCTTTGTTCATATCAGTATGCATCACTATAATTATCAATTTGAAAGTTAAAACACAAAACAATATGCAAAACCCTGTGTTAGATGGTATGGAGATACAAAGAAGTGTAAGATAAATTCCAGGAATTTATCATCTGTTTGGATAGATAATGAACAGAATAACTGTATGACAGTGCAGTGTGTACATATTATATGATAGATACAATAATGCCTACAAATAACTTCCTGAGTCTGTGTACCTAGATCTTTGAGACTGTTACATACCATGTGTGTGTCTTTCCCACTGAGCAGCCAGCCCTCTCTCCCACTTGTAAGTGATGAGGCTGTTGTTCCGATAGCCATGCCAAAATGCCAGGCCAAGTTGATGATCTCTTGCAGCCCAGAGAGGGAGATTATGCCCTCCCCCTGGCCCATTGGGTCAGGGAAGTTTAGGGCTGTCCTGCCAACTTGACCCTGCTTATCAGTCCACCTCCCAGGTTCAAACCAAAGCCTTTAACTTCATATTGCTAGAGCCCCTATGTAGGTGAAGTATGACTTTAAGTTTGTTTGGGGATATTACCCAAACCAAATAGAGCCAAACTGTTGATTCCAATGAATGAAACTTATGACCCCTCTTCTGGGTTCTTAGATAACAATAAAATTTCCAAATGTTGCCACTTGAAGAAGCATGGAGATGTTTCCAAAAGTATCTCTGTATTCAAAGCACTGTCTAATCTCAGATTGTCATGGACAAGGAAACTTGGAAAAGCAGCCTCCTCTGGGCTATGGCAGCCCTCCACTCAGGAGGGCGCTGAGAGGACTCAGGTCCCTCATTTCAGAACTTTGTGCTGGCTCATCCATCCCGTAGTCATTTGAGCCTTGACTCTGACAGTCAGCTGTTGGGCCAGCCCCTCCCCCAAGTGGTAGGACATGGGCCTGTGGTTTCAGTGCCTACAGTTATGCTTAGGGAGCGTATGTTTAAGGGAAAGCAGTGTTGTCTCTGGCTTCTGTGATTTTATTAAGCAGACCAGTGAGAATCTTCTGGGGCCAGCCTTAAGCTCAGATTCTCTAGTCACAGCTTCTCAGACCTGATGTTTCACTGAGCATGGCAGTGTATAAGGACATGAGCTTTGGAACCACACAGATCTGTGTTCACATCCCTATTCTACCCATTACCAGCCATGTGACCTTGAGCAAGTTTTGTCATATTTCTAGAACCTTAGTTTCCTAATCTGTGAAAATAAGGCTAACAGTAATATTTACCTCAGGGTTATTATGAAGATTCCATGAGATAATATAGCACTTTAAAGGAAGTTGTCATTTCACCAGCTCTTCTCCTAATGCTAGACTAAAAAAAAAAGGCACCTGGCATAGGCTGAATCTTTGTTTCTCTTGTCTCTCCAGGTCACTTCTTCGGGTAGCTCCCCAGCTCTGGAAAATGAGCATCTTCAAGGTAAGTGTACTAAAGGAAGGAAACTGGTATGAAAGCTATAGCCCGGCCCTAATTTCAGCAGTTGCTCTCGAACCTCTCCCAGGGTCCCCCCAGGAAAAATCAAAGCTGGGCCAGACAATGTGTAAAACCACACAAACCAGGAACAATAATTTGGCAAGGTCACCCAGGAATAAATCTTGGGTAGGGTAGGGATGATCAATATCTTCAATATTCTGAGAGAAACTTTGGAGGTACAGGGAAACTTTCACAGTCAACTCTAGGCTGGCTAATGAGGTTTTAGAAGTCCCTGGTATTTTATGAGTAGCCCAGAAGTATTGCCACTGGGATTTTGTTATCCAGCAAGCTCACTAAAGCCACCAAGGAAATTATAGAAAGTCCGCAAAAGCCCTTAGAACTAATCTAGAAATAGAGGTACTAAACTCTAAAATCCAGGCAATTTCAGCACCTTTCCAAATACCTGGTTAGAGTGAAATGGTCCAACTCCAGGTCATCTAGAAAGAGGCAGAACTTAGAGGCACCTCTGGTAAAGGATTTGCCTAGGGATATATTTAAGTCTTCTATGGACAGGTTTATGGCATTAAGAGTACCCACTTTCTGAGAGGGTTGAAATAGGGGCTGAGATCCTAGGACATATTATTAAGGGTCTTTGAGTTCTCCAGAGAATTTTTTATTGTTCTGTTTTCATTTTGTTGGTATCCAAAAAAGTTATTATAGTGTTGTTTTGAATCATCTAGCTGGCTCTTCATAATTGAGCACTGCCACATGGTATCAGTGCTTGTTTTGTTTCTGGGTACATTTGCATTAACACCAGGGCAGAGGTTCAAAACTCATATTGTCTACACGGACCAAGCAGTGATGAGTGCATATGACTACAGCAACCAGTAGATCTTGCCGCATCTAAAAGGAGCCAACATCTATCCAGTTCTGGTCAGTTGTTACTATTCTGGAATTCAAGACCTAGTTTTACCAGATATTTTGATTTTGAAAAGAAACAAAAAATTTGGATTTGTATCTGAATCTCCAGATTTTTTTTAAAATTTGGGAACTGATTTATTTTTTAAATACTGGGAAAGCCAAATCAAATATGTTTGTAGGCCTGTAGCCTAAAATAGTAGTATTTAAGTACCAGTGTAATGTGTCTTAAACTGATGTCAAAAGACCTGTTCTTGGGAATATGGGTTTTCAAATTTGAAAAACAATGATGAGTTCTTAGTTAAGGATGGTGGATTGAATACATGCATCTACTTTTGTTCCTTTACAAAAAGCCACTAAAACAACTATACAGGAATTTTTTTAAAAAGGTACAAACCTAAGATAGGAAGAACAAATGACGAGGCAATAGCAAGGAGTTTTTGGAAGCTGGAAAGCAGACAGACAAGTAATAAATGACTTAGCAGACCTGAAAAAACTGAATTATAAACTAGCTGTTGGGAAAGCCAAGAAGCACTGAAGGCCCAAGAAGCAGTCAGATCCCAAGACTTCCTCCTTCACTGAATGCAGCTGGGCAACCCCCCTTTCCAACTTTGGCAAAGACTGGAGGTCTGGAGAGAGGCTTAGGCCCAACTGGGGACTGAAGTGTCATACTAAACACAGGAGCAGGAAGTGAATATACTCAGTCCTGAGGCCCCAGTCCTCTTTCCCCTTCCTGTTTCCAGAATGCTGGCAGAAAAGAGTTCACCCTCCAAGCATGGCCTTGAATGAGTAATCCTTCTCTCCAGAAGCCCTTTGAGGAAAAAGCCCCACAAATCTAAGTGCTGAATGTTTCCCATCTGAATGGCCACAGTCAATAAGGCTCACTTACACACTTAGAGCTTCCAATCAGCTTTAGAGACTCCACTCTCAAAATGATTTGAATCTACCTTTAAACCAAGGATTATCAGACATCTAAATAAAGTTTCTAACATTAAAAAAAAAAAAAATGGTGATCCAGCCCTGGCTGGATGCCTCAGTTTGTTAGAGCATCACCCCCTGTACCAAAAGTTTGTGGGTTCAATTCCCAGCCAGGTCCCCAGTAGGGGGCGTGTGAGAGGCAACCCCACATTGATGTTTCTCTCTCTCTCTCTCTCTCCCTTTCCCTCTAATAATAAATAAATAAAATCTTTTTTTTGTAAGTGTATCCTCAGGTGAGGATTTAAAAAGAAAAAAGCCCTGGCTGGTGTGGTTCTGTTGGTTGGGCATCATCCTGCAAAACGAAAGGATGCCAGTTCGATTCCTGGTCAGGGCGTGAATGCCTGGTTTGTGGTCCGTCCCCAGTCAGAGTGCATGCAGGAGGCACCCAGTCAGTGTTGCTCTCTCACACCGATGATTTTTCTCCAGCTTTTTCTCTCTCCTAACCCCTCTTTCTAGAATCAATAAAAGAAAAAAATTTTTTTAAAGGTGATCCAAACTGCATCCCCCATGAAAAGAAGCAAAAACTGACAGAGGGAACATCAATGCGTAAAGAAGAAAACTTTAAAAATTAACAATATATACTCAGATAAAGAATATATCAACACCATGAGACAAGTGCAAGTTACAGTATTTTTTTAAACTTGCAGAATACAGAAAGGAGCTCTTAGACATTAAAAATATAGCAAAAATTGCCCTGACTGGTGTGACTCAGTGGATTGAGTGTCAGCTTCTAGACCAAAGGTTGTTGGTTCAATTCCCAGTCAGGGCACATGCCTGGGTTATGAGCCAGGTCCCCATTTTGGGGCATGAGAGAGACAACCAACTGATCAGTGTACTGCTCACACATCAGTGTTTCTCTTTGTTTCTTTCTTCCTCCTTTCCCCTCCCTCTAAAAATGAATAAATAAAATCTTGGAAAAAAATACATATATAGCAAAAATTTTAAATTAAATAGAAGGTTTGGATACCAAGTTGAGGAAATCCACAAGACGTAGAGTTAAAAATCAAAGGAGTAGAAAGATTTAAAAAAAAAAAAACAATAAATCTCACCAAAACACCCCAAAATAAAACCTTAGTGGGTCAGTCTAGGGAGTCTAATGTATAAATAAAAGGAGTTAAAGAAAAAAATAACACAGTGCAAAGGAAATAATTCAAGAACATTTCTAGAAACTGAAGGACATTAATTTTCATATCGATAGGACTCATTGAATATTCAGCACAATGGAAACAAAGAGAAGATCCTGAGTTTCCAGAGTGGAAAAAACAAGTCACATAAAAGAATCAGAATTGCCTGGGACTTTCAGTGCACCAGAAGCTAGAAGGCAATGAAACAATGCCTCCAACATCCTGGAGGAAAATAAATTCTAACCTAGAATCCTCTATCCATTCAAATTCTAAATCAAAGATAAACGTAGAAGGAAGATATCTGCAGGCTGCAAGGTGTCAAAAAACTTACCTCCCATGCACCCCTTCTCAGGAAGCTGGAAGATGTGCTTCACCAAAACAAGGGAGTAGTCAGTTGAAAACATGGGATACGGGACACAAGGAGAGCCAGTAAAGGAGAGTCGTGAAGGGGGTCTCCTTGATGGTGATGAAGGAAGATCTCAGGATGCCAGCAGTGCGCGCCAGGCAAACCAGCCCAGATGTGAGCAGGTCAGAAGTCTCCAGAGAGACTTGTTTGTGTAGTTTAAAGTAAAAGACTACCTTGTGCTTCTGAACTTCTTAAAGGGAGATTTAAAGAATTGGTGAGGAGTTTGGGGGTTGAATTCATTATAAAAACTGTGCATAGAAAATTAAACAAGTGAAGGGACAAGACAGTTCTTAGCTCCAGGGAAAATAGAGTTGTGAAAGAAAGAAATCCAAATTTACTATTTGGCTTGGCTCTGAATAATGAATATTTAGTCAAAATTGTTTCAATATTGATGTAAGCAACATTATATTTTAACTTTTGGAAGAATGGGGGGAGATGGGTTGTGCATATTTGTGATGAGGTCCTGGTAGAAAAGAGAACAAAAAATTCTCATCTTCCCTAGATGATAATAGGTGATTCCCAAAATTGAAAAATCAAAAAGCAGCAAAAAAGTACCAAAATAATCAGCTAAAAGAGGTCTCATCTCTGGCTGGGGGTGTTACAGGGAAATAGGCCACAGGGACATCAGTTTTAAGTTCATGAGTTTTGTAGTCAGGTAGGTCTGTTTGAGTCTTGCATTTCACTTACTAATGGTGTGAACTTGAGCAGTTTATTAATTTGTTTCCACCTTTTTCAGTCGAAAAATGAGGACAATATTTGCCTAAAAGATTAGTTGGAAGAATTAAATGATGTAGTATTTTTAAGTACACATAGCATCGTAAGGAGCGTATTTGGATTGTTATTATGGGGGTGGTTTCTCCAGTTTAGAGCAAGCAATTAAAATCAGAAGACTGGAAATGTAAGCACAGCCAGGGTCTCCTGTTTGTCTGGAGCAGGTGGGATGATTTCTCACTTACAGGGTCATCCCAAGCTGGACTGTCAGGGTGTTTCTGGCCAGGTTGATTGAGCACTGGGCTCCAACTTCATGTTGATCTGAAATGGCCCAACTTGGCCATGACTTTCTCATCTGTGGGTCTTAGAAGAAGAATTTTAAGAAGCTTAATTACATCTTACTTGAGAAAAGATAAGTAAAAATGTGCTAAATATATGAAAGGAAAAACGAGTTAAAGATGAGAAAAAACATTTTAGACTAGAACAGGTTAGTAAAGGATATTATAGACTTTCTGTTTTAGTCAGCCATCTTTTGCCTAAGGAACCTATAGATATAGTCTTATCTGGAAAGGGAGATTAGATGAAATGATTTCTAAGGGGTTTGAGCAGGGGTTTCTAATGGAACAGTAGGAACAAAACAGGTAACATAGAAGGCCTTATAAAAAGTCGTGCTCTAAATATTTGAGCAACTACAACACCTGTTGCATTTTCTGCCTTTTTTTTTTTTTATTGTGAGCTTTGCTTGGAAAGAAGCTACTAACTATCCCACCCTATGCAGAGACCCCAGAATCCAACAATAGCGTGTATACGTCCTTCATGAAGTCTCATCGCTGCTACGACCTGATTCCCACAAGCTCCAAATTGGTTGTGTTTGATACTTCCCTGCAGGTAGGTGAAGTCCTTTTTCCTTCCCTCCCTTCCTTGGAGCCTCTGGTTCAGTCCCTCTCATCCTATCTCATCCCTAGGGTAATATCCTCATTCTTCTATAGCGTTAGTCTCATGTCTTCCCCAGCATACCCAACCCCTGTTCTTTTAAAGTCCTAACTGTGAATTTCCCTTTGTGAATATAACTCTTTTGGCTACAGGTGAAAAAAGCTTTCTTCGCATTGGTTACTAACGGTGTACGAGCTGCCCCTTTGTGGGATAGCAAGAAACAAAGTTTTGTGGGTAAGCAAAGTTCCTGGAACTCAGTATTATTGGCACCTGGTGCTGGGCCACCTCGAAAAGCTTCGAGCAGTGCTAACAGCTCTTTTCTTGGCTTCTAGGCATGCTGACCATCACTGATTTCATCAATATCCTACACCGCTACTATAAATCAGCCTTGGTAAGGAACCTTAGCCCAATGACCAAAACCACTTTCCTTGCTCGAAGCCCCTCATTCTCATTTCCTTTCTTCCAAGCAAACCGCAAGGGGTTTATTATGAAGCAGGGAGATCAAGTCTCAAGTTCTGTTGCTTCTGCTTCCAGGTACAGATCTATGAGCTGGAAGAACACAAGATAGAGACTTGGAGAGGTATGCAGAGTATTAGGGGGTGTGAGCAGACAAAGGGATGGAGAGTCTCCTGGGAAATGGTTCTCTATGGTGGTATTTTGTGAACCTCCTTTTCTTTTCAGAGGTGTACCTGCAGGACTCCTTTAAACCACTTGTCTGCATTTCCCCTAATGCCAGGTGAGTCCTAGCTACCCATTGTTCAGGAGAGAAGGAGCCTTGCCATCAGCATGGCACCCATGCTAAAGGCTCGCCACCCAAAGATCCAGGGACAGAAGAGAGCAAAGACATTCCTCCCAAACACACACGTGGGGCACACTTGCCCCCCTCCCCTCTACTGATCACCAGTTTTCCGTTTATAAACACATTCTAAAGAACCATTTAACCACCCTCAGTCCCAGCACCATGGAACTTATCATTGTCCCTAATCTTCCCACAGCTTGTTTGATGCTGTCTCTTCATTAATTCGAAACAAGATTCACAGGCTGCCAGTTATTGACCCAGAATCGGGCAACACCTTGTACATCCTCACCCATAAGCGCATCCTCAAGTTCCTCAAATTGTTTGTAAGTGCTCCTCAGCCCAGTTTTCACTTCTTTTGCTCAGTTGGAAGGGTATTTAAAGGTGGTATGGGGGGCCTTGAAAATCAAGGTGATGGTTCCTTTCTCAGATCACTGAGTTCCCCAAGCCAGAGTTCATGTCCAAGTCTCTGGAAGAGCTGCAGATTGGCACCTATGCCAACATTGCTGTGGTCCGCACTACTACCCCTGTCTACGTTGCTCTGGGTATCTTTGTACAGCACCGAGTCTCCGCCCTGCCTGTGGTGGATGAAAAAGGTGAGAGATTGGGCAGGCGGAGAGGGAGGGCTCCAGGGAAGTCTGGCGGTGGGAAAAGCTGCCCAGCCAGGAGGGCAGTTCTGTGGGCAGGGGGAGTTTTGGATGCTAGGTCCTCTTTGCTGAGCTGCCTCTGTCCCCTAGGGCGCGTGGTGGACATCTACTCCAAGTTTGATGTTATCGTGAGTGATTGCAGAGGGGCTGGGAGGTAGGGAAGGGGGTTGCATGTTGAATGTGGAGGGGGGAAAGAAGAGAGTCTCTTCTGGGACCTCAGGGTTTAAGAAGCTTCCAAGCTTTCAAATCCTATTTGAAAAGAATTGAATGAGCTGGGCATGGCTTCTAGCCATAACTGACAACTGCCCGAAATCACTCTGGGGCTGGGTGGGTGCAGGATTTGGGGACTGGCTCCCGTGCTTCTCTGCAAGCACCTTCCCCTCTCTCCTCAGAATCTGGCAGCAGAAAAGACTTACAACAACCTAGATGTGTCTGTGACCAAAGCCTTGCAACACAGGTCACATTACTTTGAGGGCGTCCTCAAGTGCTACCTGCATGAAACACTGGAGACCATCATCAACAGGCTGGTGGAGGCAGAGGTAGAGGGGCCAGTGACCCGAAAGGGGCTGGGGGGGCAGCCTTGAGATTGGGGGTTTGGCAAGGAGGGCAGGGCTTAAAGGGCTCCCCCTGAAGCCAGCACTGAACACCCTTCTCCGTTGCTGCTCTCCACAGGTTCACCGACTTGTAGTGGTGGATGAGAATGATGTGGTCAAGGGAATTGTGTCGCTGTCAGACATCCTGCAGGCTCTGGTGCTCAGAGGTGGAGAGAAGCCCTGAGCTAGGGGCGAGGGCCAGGCAGCACCAGGGGTTACGCCCGTTCACTGCCTGCACAAAGCTCTGGGAACCACAGACGAAACCTTGAGAAAATTGTGACCCCCCTGACCTTCTACCCGGAAGCTGGGGAAGGTGTGGGGGAAGGAAGGTGAATGGACTTGTAGCTGTCCCATCCTCACACATACACTTGAGGAAACCTTGCAACCTAGCCCATCCTAACCCCTGACCTCTTAGACATAGCCCTCATTCCGGGTGAACTGTGGGCTCCCTGCCTCTTGGACAGATTCTGATCTCTGAGAGATTTCAGGCCTCACCCAGCCTTTGCCTCTATCTCCTTGACTCCCTCCACCCTAAGATAATAGCACAACTCTTCATAAAAATATTTTTATTCATTCTGTTTCATGCTGTATGGAGGAGGCTGAGTCCATTTAGTGACATGTCTTCCAGTAATGCAAACGGGAAGGACTGTGGGGAGGAAGACCTTTGGGTTCCTGCGCTATATTCCTGTGAAGGGAGGTGGGGTTAGATGGGGGAGGATGGTAGAGTGGTTAGCTGAAGCGATTGCTTTTCATGGCAAACCTAATTAAAACGACGGGAACCTCTTCACAGTATTGCAGTGTTTGCTTTTTGTTGTTGACAGACACTTGCGTCAGCCTTCCTATTTTATATGGCCACTTCAGCCCACTCATGACAATAATCGCACACTTTATAGAAAACTCTGTCAAGTACCATCCATTCTCAGTGCTTTACATATATTAATTCACTTAATCCTCAGAACAATAGTAGATGTTATGCCAGTTTTATAGATTTAAAAGAAACTAAGGCACAGAGAGGCTAAGTAACTAGCCTAAGGCCACACAGCTAGTAAAAAATAGAGCTAGGATTTGAACCCAGTCTGGCTCCAGAGCTCATGCTCTTATCACTCTATTAGAACACCTTTCTAAATCCCCATTCATAGCTGTCCTCCTCCCTATTCCCTGCAATCCTCATTACCTCACTTTACCCTCTGCCTGGACCATGGCTGGGATGCCAGGAAAAATCCATAATAGTGTTAGGTCTCCAGAGAGCAGTGAATGAGTGTCTCCTTTAGGTAGACTTGTCACCAACGGAAGGTTGGACTCTGTGTTTGGATTTTGCTGAATTGGCACTGTCTTCAGACTTACAAATCCCTTGTGATTCTTCCAAAGTGAGAATGAGCTAGACTCTAGTGGGCAGGTGGAGGGGGGAGCAGCAGGACTGGTCACCCTATCAGACCTTCCCTTGTGCTAAAACCATATGCACCAAATTCTGGGTATCATCTCACCAACTGCCTTGCAAGTCTGATACCATTTCCATCTTGGGTACCAAGACCAGGAGCAGTTTCAGAGCAACACCTTGCCCCCAGCTGCACTGTGCCTAAGAACTCTGAAGAACCTAGACATACCATACTGGTCCCTCCAAACCAAACTTCCTGATGGAATAGGGGGAACGCCTTGAGGCAGCTTTCAGTACTGGCATGGCTTTGAAGGAACCCCTGCTTCTGTGTCCACCTGTTTACAGCTCTCAGCACATTCCCAAACTTGGAGGGAGGCATGCTAAGTTATTAGAATTAGGGTATGTTTATGTGTGTGGGGGTGAGCGCATGGAGGAAAGGACAGCTGTCTCCCTGTGTCACATTCCTTCGTGCAGTGGGGTTTGTCTAGGGAGGAGGCAAGGACTTTAAAAAGCCTTAGGATTCTAGTGGGACCTGGGTGGAAGGAAGCACCTTCAAGCAAAGAGCCTTCAGTGTACCTGGTATGTTGTAAAGGGGGCTGCATGGATGGGATAGGGGATGTGTGGGTTCTCTTATGTAAAAGTCCACGTCAGGGAGCAGGAGGCCTGAGTTTGGTTGCCCTGGCTCTCAGTCAGTCTCTGCCCCACCACGACCCTCCTGGGCAAGGGTCTGTACCTGAAGGGCTGCAGGTATGTTAGTGGAAAACAAACTGGGGCCTCTTGCTTCTCCCACTCCACTAAAACCCAGCCAGTCTCAGGGTCTGAGGATGGAGCAGAAGGAAAGACAAGGAACAAAATTTGGGAGCCTCATAGCTTTCTATTCATACCTATTCCACTCAGGAGAGGCAAATTATCCCTTCTTCCTCAGGAACCATTGCCACACATACTTTCTTCCCCCACCTCCCCACACCCCTCCCCTCCACTGGAGCTGCTGCCATGGTTGCCAGGCATGGTTGCTAAGTCTCTGCATGGAAGGGTTCGCGTGGGCTGCGCTGCCACTAACATTACCATGGTGAATCAGGGGACACCTGGTATAGGCTTGAGGGGCGGGGGAGGGTCATGTGGATGCAAACAACAACTCCCCAGGCCAGAGTGAGCCGAAAGGGCGAGCACCTTGAGCACCACTCCAGGTGGGGGCTGAGCGAGCTGGGCATTGTGGTGGCAGTGATGGGGGCTCTGCGCCAGAAAACGGGCCACTTTAATCATCTCAGTTGCTAGGGGATTGGTTTTGCCAAGGGAGCTCACCGTTCCTCCTTCATCCCTTCTGAAAGGGTGCAGATGCGAAAGCACCTAGTCTGTCCTCCATCCGGCTAAGCATGTCTGTGTGGGCACAGAACGGTATGACCCCCAAGTCCTGGCTTCTGGATTGTGGAAGAGAGCATGCTGTGATCTAGAATGGGAGTCGGGGATAGCTTTCATGGCCAAAACAGACTCCCGTGTCCAGCTGTAACCGAAGCTCTGGGCTGCAGTTAAGGATATGGGGGTCACCCTTTCTGAGCTTGGGGAACGGAGCTCCCCACACTCAGAGTCGCACAAAAGCTTCATGAAAGTCACCCCCTCCTCCCTCCACCACATGGAAGCTGGTTACTCATCTCCTCTCTGCACCCCAACGCCACTGCCGCTAAAAATAGGCCCCCATCCGTGGTCCAGCCCCTCCTGCACCCCCATGGTAACCAGTAAGAGTGGCAGGCAGAGACCTTGAGTTCCATTTGCATCACCTCCCTGTCTGAGAAACTGAAGTCTGAGGCAGGAAGTCAAGGGCATAACCCTGGTGGTCAAGCACCCTAACAGAGGGGAACGAAGGGTTAAAATGGCGGGAAGGTTGAAGAAATGGGAATGGGGGAGGGGAAATTGCCAGATTGGCAAGAAAAAGAAGTTCCCTCCCCACTCATGCAAGTCCCATCAGGCTTGGGGGACACGAGCAGTGGGACAGGGCGCCCAATCCCCAGCCCCAGGGGGCGGCCCTGCACTGGGGGGGGGGGGGGGGCGGCAGCGCGGAGCCGTCCGCGCCTGTCACATGCGCTCACACACACACACACAGGCATACACGTGTGCCCGGGTATATATAGTCCCCAGTCGCCGGGCCCGCCGCTCTGCAGTGGGCGCCGGTTTCCTGGGCTGGGAGGGGGCTATCGGGGCGGGTGGGAGGGTGGGGGGCCGGGGTGGGGTGGGGCAGGATGCTGGATGGCCATCTGTTCTCCGAGGGGCCCGACAGCCCCCGGGAGCTCCGGGATGAGGAGTCTGGAAGCTGCCTCTGGGTGCAGAAATCCAAGCTGCTGGTGATCCAAGTGAAGACTATTTCCTGTCATTATAGTCGCGGCGCCCCTCCTCGACAGCCCATGGACTTCCAGGCCAGCCACTGGGTCCGCGGGCCGCAGAGTCGCACGTGAGTGAGGGAGGGGTGAGGGGCCAGACTGGCGGGCGGGTGAGGACTTCCCCCAGGCACCAGCCAGAGCCGCTGGCCCCCTTCCTTTTCCCACGCGCCCCACCCCCACCGTCCCGAGAGCTAGGGCCTGACCTTTCCCGCGTTGTTTGGGGAAACAGGCGGAGCTGCGAGACAGGGCAGGGGGTGAGATGGGGCAGACGCTGCTAAAGTGTGCATGGAGAGATGGTGAGGAATCCTGCTTCGACTCCAGCCCCAACGTATGTGCACGTGTGCGCTCACTGACACACATATCTTCACGCGGCTGCCCAAAGTGGTCTGCAGTGCGCCCAGCTCCCCGGGCCTCGGCTCCCTTCCCCCACAAACCGCTCATCAGGGTTCCTGCTCATTGTCCCAGGTGTGGGCCGCGCCCGGGATCCCCTGAGCCGCCTCCCCGCCGTCCCTGGGCCTCCAGGGTGCTGCAGGAGGCGACTAACTGGCGGGCGGGGCCCCCAGCCGAGGCCCGAGCCCGGGAGCAAGAGAAAAGGAAAGCGGCATCGCAGGAGCGGGAGGCCAAGGAGACCGAGAGAAAAAGGCGCAAGGCTGGTGGGGCCCGAAGGAGTCTCCCGGGTCGGCCCCGCCCGGAGCCCCGGAACGCCCCCAGAGTGGCACAGCCTGCAGGGCTCGCAGCTCCCTCGAGGCCTGAGCACCTGGGGCCGTTGGGGCGACCGCCCCGTCCGCCGGCGCAGCCGCAGAGCGACCCCAGGGTGGCGTGGGCGGGGCCCTGGGGAGGTCGCAGGCCCGGGCCCCCCAGCTACGAGGCTCACCTGCTGCTGAGAGGCGCTGTGGGGGCCGCCCCTCGGCGCCGCTGGGACCGGCCGCCCCCCTATGTGGCCCCGCCGTCTTATGAAGGCCCCCACAGGACTTTGGGGACTAAGAGAGGCCCCGAGCCCTCGCAGACGCCGGTCTTGTCAGTCCCTGCTCCGACGCCGACCAGGACAGAGAGAGGGTGCGCAAAGAAGAGGCTGGATCCTCGGATCTACCGGGACGTCCTCGGGGCTTGGGGTCTCCGGCAGGGGCGGGGTCTCTTGGGGGGATCCCCAGGCTGTGGGATAGCCAGGTCAAGGCTGGAGCCTCGCAACGCCGCCGCGGGGAAGAGCGTGGGGCCGGCCGCTTCTGGCCCGCAGGGTGGGAGCGACGGTCACCCCCGAGCCGACGCTGCTGGGAGCCCAAGCAAGGCGACAGCTCCTACGGGGTCTGCAAATGCGACTCCGAGCCCCCCGCGTCCCGCTCCCAGGTCCAGGCCCCATCTCAAGGGCTCAGGGCAAGGGCAAGAAGGTAGAGAGCAGAGCTGGCTCCCCAAATGCTGGATTCCCTCCCCCAAAAAGCAGCCGCCCCGACATAGCCAGACCCTCCCCAGACCCTGGGCTCCAGGAGGCACAGGATGGAGAAATTCCCTGGGTCTTAGAGAGGAGGCCGGACACGAAACCTCGGAGGGCTGGAAGGCGACCCGCCGCGCCCACACCCTGCCCCGGAGTTCCCGCGGCCCGGCTGCTGGAGAGGGCGTCTTTGTCATTGACGCCACGTGCGTGGTGATCCGCTCTCAGTACGTTCCGACCCCTCGAACGCAGCGCGTGCAGCTTCTGCCCGCCGGGGTGGCGCGCCTTGCGGGACACGCCTCCAGCCCGCCGAAGTGCAACAGGAAGGAGGGCGAGGGCACTGCGGCCTCTGCTTCCCCTTGCCAAAAGCTGCTGCTGAGCAGTCGCCTTTCACACCAGCCACACGGGGGGCTCGGGTTTGAAGTGGAGGGCGGGAATCCTGTGGACTCCTCATTGGAGGAGCGCGCCTCCCGCATCTTGGGGCTCCCGGTGGGCGAAGTGAACCTTCAGGACGCCCCCGCGCAGCCAGGCAGCCCACAGCACTCAGCCTCAGGCCCAGCGACCTCGGGCGGCGCCAACAGTGCCGAGCGCTCCGGGGAAGCGGCGGCGGTCCTGCGGC